TAGAAATCGATAACTAGGTACTTGGCACTTGGATATCGATCATAATAATTTCAAGTAGTTTAGTTCTGGCAGCTGGGTAGCGTCGCTGGCTGTTACAGAAATACATGGCTCAAAGTTGCGTACATAAATTTGAGTTTTGACTAAAAAACGGCATTTGACTATGTATACCGAGATGTCCTGTGGCAGTGTTTGTCATTGAATGGTGTACACCAAAAGTACGGATATTTTATGAAGGCTCTTTACTCGAACACTACCAATCTAGTCAGAACTTGTGGTGAGTTATCATCTGATTTCGCAACCTCACATGGTGTCCTGCAAATCTGTCAACTATCTCCATTTTTGTTTAACTTCATCATCGACCTACTGCTGGAAATAACGTTTTCGTCGACTGAATTTTTAGGGGATGATCTTTCAGGAGGTCCACTTATAGACATAGATAACGCAGATGACATAGTCCTGTTTGGTGAAGACGCTAATAAAATGCAGAGTCTTTTCATAGCACTGAGCAACAATGCCAGGATGTTTGGGATGCGCTTCTCTCCCTTTAAATGCAAGTTGTTGCTTCAAGACTGGTCTACACCTGAACTGGGGATAGGGGGTAAAGTAGTCGAACGCGTCGACAACTTTACTTATCTTGGAAGTCTGGTCACTCCTAATGAGTTGGTGTCTGACGAAATCTCAACACGGATTCGAAAAGCTCGTTTGGCTTTTGCCAACTTACGTCGCGTATGGCGAAGGCGAGATATCCGTCTATCAATTAAAGGATGAGTATACTACTTGGCCGTTCGTTCTGTTCTACTTTAAGACTGCGAAACGCAGCCATTAAGAGTAGACGATGCTCGTAAGCTACTAGTATTTGATGACATGTCTTAGAAACATTGCCAGCGTCTGCTGGGATCACCGGGTAAGTAATAGTGAGGTCCGATGTACAGGGTATTAGGGAATGATGGTAAATCAGCTGATGAGGTTGTGAATCTTCATCGACTAAGGTGGTTGGGCCACATGCTACGTATGCCTGAACACCGATTACCACGATGCGCAATGCTGACTAGTGTTAGGGATGGTTGGAAAAAAGATAGGGGTGTCCAAACGATAATGTAGCACCAGTCCTTGAAGTCACTAACTTCTGGTTTGAGCCATGTTGGTAGATGCAGACTACTTGGTTAGTGTCCGCGTGACTATTGTAACCAATGGTTGGATACCCTTGACGACGTGGCCCAGAATCTATCATAATGGCGTAAGTGTATACACACTTTTTCTTCCCTTGAACCGTGAGATTAAAGTTGCTTTATACCTTCATTTCTACGAACTAATTATTTCTTCCGGTATTATGTCCTTATATGAAGTCTTTTTTTATATACATTACCACCATTAAAGTAACTACTTTTATGGATTTGGTGTTTATCTTGTGCTAATGAGGTATGGCAACTTGGACCGATGCATATATGTGTCTGGTCCTACGTTATAGCTGACTGACTGATATTAAAAATTAACTACAATCTAATAGCATAGTATGAAACAACTGCTGTAAAGATTGGACGTACAACACACTATATAACTGCTCTAATAAATCACTGGAAAATTCTTCGTTCATATAATTGTGTTGTAGTCTGTTAATGATTGAGTCAATTGTCTAAATTATTAATCCACAGATTCATAATGGTTTGACCGAAAATTTCAACCGTAAAACTAGCCAATATGAAGAAAAGGTTACTGATCATTATTTTGAAGAATACTAGTGATTGTCAAATGTGTACAGTGAGGATTCAAATGACTATCATCAATGATCACTGTTTAATTGTTAAATGATACTGTTAGGAAGATAACAAGTTATCTAGTTTCTTTGTCAAGAAATATAAATTTTTACAAGGATAACCCTCTCCCCTCACCTTTCGTGTTATCTTATTGGTTGTTTTAATCTATAGTTCAATTTTGTTGTACTTCGAAAGTGGTTTTCTTTGGTTTGCATATGTTTCTATACCTGGTCCTCACCCATCGCACACACCCCTATTGTTAGCTGATTATCTGATACCAACAGATAATGTTGATGGTCTAGCGTATATTTTTTATCGCGGTGTAAGTACAGTAAGTAGGATGAATAGAGACCTGTTTTGGTGGGACTAGAGGATCCAATTCTATGCACTGCTTCCAATTCACGAGACATTATACGTGTGAAACTACATCAGACAAAGCGTTCTGAAGTGGTTTTTAGTCAAATGTAGTTATTTGTCATCATTCCAGCTTCTCTTAGAATCATCCACCAGAATTCCTACCCATCCACTCGACTAGGATTGATACAATGGGAAACAGAAACATCTAACTTTATAATTTTCTCCGAAATGCTGAGACAGTTTATTTGAACTATGTATTGTTGTCTTAAAACGGTGGTTTCAGGGCTTTTATCTTGATCCCAAGATTTTTCAAATTTGTTTGATGCTGTTACTAGTAAACGGATCCTAACTACGAGTATTCCTCGTGATGGTTAATCAGTGCATCCTTGATGAACACTCAATACTAGATCAGCTACTGATCGATACAGTTTGACCAACTCACCTTTCATCCTCGTTAAAACTATACAATTCTCAGGCTTAGTATTCCAAGATAATATGAAGAAATCAAGCAATATTGTATAACCCGATAAAATTAATCATACTTTTCAAAAGTTTTTTCTTAGCAATCAGGCGTCAGTTTTTGCTTTCTGTGAAACGGTGTGGCTACGTGCACGTCGATTTAAACTGGTTAAGTATGCTAAATATTTATTTTTAAAAGTAACTAAAGCTATCTCGTCAAAGTCTTAAGTTTTTTTGCATTTCGTTTTTATGAATGTCTCACGATGTCAAAGTCCTACATAGCTTGGATTTGGATTGTATATAGGTTGGTAAGAAAAAGTTGAGCGTCGTGTCTATGGCAGTTTCCTAACCTAATTTTTTGTTAATCCGGAATATTTATGCCACTAATACCAGTATTATTATTTTCACCTGTCTTTTAGCTCAAAAGTGACTCGGTCAAGATCGTAATTTATTCTGAGCAGTTAAGTCAGACGTCTTGAATGTGTCCACTTTGCCCGAGGATATGAAGCGTAAAGGAAAGCAAAAGACTTCAAAACCTTCTGGACGTTATGGTTTAAAAGGCAGTTTGAAGTCTTACTATGGTGATTCTCAATTACATCCTGCATGTGGGTCACCAGATACAGGATCTAAGTCATCTCATGGTCTTTCAAAAACACCAGATGATACTTCCAGTGAATCAGTTCATAGCCGTAGTCTTCGTAATAGTTCTGTTGGAGATGATAACTTATCACAAATGGAAAGTCGTGGTCGTCGTGTACTAGACAAAAAGGGTCATAACGGAGATCTTGATCAAAACGTATTCAAGAATTTTGCAGATGACTATAGTAATGAGTCAAGGGATCGTGAAGGCTCTCTTCCAATGGGACTTAGTAGTGAACATGAACTTCCTTATGATGATGAATGTAAGTAGTTTATCAATTTTCATATTGTTTTATTCTTTTCTAATATTCTTTCTTTATGTTGTCTCTTCAGTCCTTATTGGTTTTACTATTTACTTCCGCTATCCGTTATTATACAAACTATTCACTCCTCTTCTCATGTTAGTATGCGTAATCTAAAATTTAGCAACTGATGTGACTGTAGCTTGATAATGAGTCTTATCACCTATTGTAATGAATAATTTTCATACTTTGTAACTAACATCACGAACGGGCTCTACTAAACAATTGTTGAAAACCAAGAAGCGGTGGTTGTTTATTTCATCCGTGTTATATGATTCACCAAGGACAGAGCCTCAGGACATTCAGGTTTTATGATAAACGCTTACTGAGTTGGCATGTAATGGTTTGTATTTATAACTTTAGTCGATCTGTGATATTTTGCTACTGTAAACCTATGGGTTGGCTTAGTAACTAAAACAGTCGGCTTTCAACTGGCAAGTCTCAGGTTTGGACCTCGTTTCATTTACATCATTTCGAGCAGCGAATTAGTACTTGTTATGACACTCACTCGATCATTATTACCAATAACCACTAACACCTATTTGATCATGCTTATTCTTTTATCATCGACCTCCCGGTTTGTCTCTTAATGAGACTCGAAAACGCATGGTTAAATACATCAATTTAAAGATCACAAAGCATTATTGATGAGAAATTGCAGTCTTCACTAAACTGGGACAGTTGTGATACTAAAATAACTAACAGTTAAACAATTAATTAGGTGTAATTCATGAACGATAAAAGGCATTAACAGCCAAAAACTCAAATGATCGTTTGCAACTAGAACAGTATAAAAATTACAGTGAACTATTTATTAAATATACCATGTAAGCTTATAAAATAATCTACTAGAGAATGGCCTTCAAAGTTCCAAGTTTTCAATTATCTCCCCATATTCAACGGTATCACACAACTGAGCTGTGTCTCAAGGCCCCCGAGTACATAAATAAGAAAAGTTACCTGTTTTCATCGGTAATAACTGTCTCATGTGCAATATGCTTAAACTTCATTGGTCAGTGACTAATTGTCATTAGTACTCGAAGTTTCGTTTTGTTACTGATGAGCACATGATCACTGTTAGTAGTTCGGAATTTTCACCTGGAGATTACTCAATTCATGGTTTAAATTATGAAATGACTTTCTCTTGACAACCGTTGGATACACACACTGCTAAAGAGTTTTATACTAAGAAGAAACAGTTCTTCATAGGTTTCTGGTCTTTTATGGTGGTAGTCTAGTTAGGATGATGTAAAGACAAATTGAATAGTCTTCACTGACCTATACTACTGATTTACTTACTGATTGGTAATTGCTCTACTTAAGAGTGTTTTGACTGTTCCATATAATCAACAAATCGACTATTATTTGTTATCGAAATTCTTTATGTGTTCTTATATATTGGTTACCGTCTTATCAAAAGATCCAATTTTTAAAACTAAAAAAATCCATCTCATTTTAAATTTCAAGTTATTTCTTATGTTAATGAATAGCGAATGGTTGTTAGCATTATGTTTCGTCACATTTTATTATCTTGGTCATTAGCTACTCGTGAAACTTTATCAACCAAAGATCTCAGCGGATCACATAATTCAGTCTTTGTTGAACCCCGTCAACCAGACAAAGGTAAGTTCTTCATTGCGTACAAAACAGCGGTTTATTTTTCTTTTGAATGTCAAGTCTACGTTTCTTTCTATATGTGTTAAAAACCGTAATTTATAATAATAACTTAAAGAATCTTTGAGTTATGTTCTCTTAAGGTATATTATTTAGTATGAAATTATAAACATGTTTTACGCGAAAAGTGATAAATCCTATTACATACACGATCCAACGGCGAAAAGAGAACTAGATACTTGGCTCGTATTAAGGTCCATGTTGTCGGGTCGTTATTACAGTAGCAGTTATATTTTCTAGTCTTACTATTGATTAGTTCGCCTGTATTGCCAGTAGGACCAGTGACCGATTTATCAAATAACACAGTAACCAATAATTCACAACCGAGAAAGTAACGTTTATTGGTCCTCAAGCTCCTTCAAACCTCAATGTCCAGTCAGAAGACGAAGATAGAATGCAGATTATTTCTCCAAAACACTGTTCGATCACAACTCAAAACTCATATATTAATATACTTTCAACGTCTGACTACATAGCAACACAATTATAAAATTATGTATACATAACTCAGTCATAAATAATACAAATTCGCAGTAATAGGGAAATAATTAATGATAAATCTGGAACAATAGGATATAACAATTTATGCGTTAAATGGAAAGTTTAAAGATAGACACATTAGAAATACGACAATCTAAGAGTTTACTAATTATGTAATAAACAGTGTAAACAGTCTCTGAAGTTATACTTTCACACGATTTGCCTCATTGAATCAACACAATTTTAGGATGAGGTAAGAACATCTAATTATCTAGTTCGAATCTAATTTCTCCAACTAAGCCGAAGCAAAAAAATTGAGTTACATTATTTTTATAGTTTGTTTTTTTATGATGCGGATGTTTCGTGCTTCATTATTTTTACTCTTTATGGTTGGTTACTCAAAAAACCTCAGTTCTTAAATTTGTATTTGTGTGTGTATGTGTTTCAGTCACAGTGGATTACAACAGTGCATCGCATACTCAAAGAAAAGTCAATAAACGTGAGCTAAAAGCGTTATTAAAGCAGACTAAAAAGAAACCATCAACTGTAGACGAGACAGTGATCGCTGCTATTGATGAATTGGCTATTCACTTGAAAGGTAAGTTTCACATTAAACTAATAATTGTGTTTATAATGTTTGATTTTATAGCTCCCTGCCTTTTAGTAATTTAATTATGTAAAGTAGGTTTGTTCTTTTTTCTGATATTTTTGGTGAGAATACGGTCCGTCTTTTTACTAATTTATTTCATGGAAGCGTTTTAACTCTAAAACAATCTTTTACATATATAATTTTTATGTACACGAACACATTTTGTATGTTGCTCATTATTGGCGTCTGTTCTTAGGTCACCGATCGGATGCGTGGGGAAAACGGGGTAGTTATTAAGTTGTCACGGAATAAAGATTCTTGTGTTAAATATTCATCTGTTGTCTCACTAGGATCTTGACCACAGTTCCCAAAATCACAAACACAATTAGACTGATACTAGTTCTAAACGTCTGCAAATTGTCGATCACCAGAGTCGGCGATTACGATAAACACTGCTACTATTCTGTAGTTTTCAGTTTATCCGGCTAATACTTGTCTAATTAAGGTTTCATCAATACACTGTTTTTTTGTAATTGATTGTTGTTTCGACGATTCTGTGTTAACTGCTGTCTGTTATGAATTTACGATTTTTCTACTTATTATTCTTGAAAACATATTTTGATACAGATACTTGTGTGATTGACACGAAACCAGTACCTCGTCGACCAATCCCAGTCGCTGTATCTCCTATTTTAGCCTCACGTCAATCTGAAACACCATCCCGTAGAGGTGTCGGTGCACGCAGAGGCGGCCGGAGAGGTCGGGGTGCTCGTCGTGGTGGTCTTTCTTCTCCTACTTCTACCACTTCCATAGAACAGACGGTTCTTCCGGCATCCTGGGTACCTCTTATCCTACCGAACCCGTTAAGAAGTCCCGTGACATCAGATCCTGAGGGTGATAATTTGGGGGTGAAGTCGAAGTTATGTGCACCTTGGCTTCAACAACTTCCTGAATCGCGGGTGCATCGGTTTGTTGTAAGTTGTTAGTTTGTTTAACCATTTCACAAATTATCTTCATCTACTAGACGTTTGTGTGTGATGTATAGTTTTCTGTGGGTGCTAGAAACATTTTGGTACGTTGGGTCAATCAGAAATCGATCAAATGTTAAGCACATGATGATTGACTGATAAATGGTTAGTTTTTCTAAGGGATATATATATAATTTTACTACAATACGGAAAAATGTTGATATAAGTTACTTTCTTTTTTTATCGTTATTTAGAACTTTTTTCTCATATATTTCTCCTGATAATTATCAAGATTGATGAATACCAGAGGTCCCCATTATTACTATATTTTTCTTCAGCAAACGGATTTACTTTAGACTGTTGCTACCAATCTAGTTTAATCTTTATCTTGTTTTTTTTAAAATTGTAATAAATCTTTTTAGTTTAATCTTAAAGTCAGTATTTATGTGTCATCAAGTAATAAGTAATAATTTATCATATTCTATTTATGTATTAATGTTAATCAATTGTTAATTTTTCTTTGTTAGGTGAATATGCGCCGTCTGTTGGCGGCTACATTAAAAAATCCTATAGAAACTGATCACTTATCTAAAAAACCTATTCAACTTATAGATTTAACATCAGACAAACAAGATTATTCTACTAGCGCTTTCGATAATCAATCGAAACAATTATCATTTCCACTAAATTCTAATGTACAAAATCTTGGTCATCATACAATAATACCCTCTGAGATAAAAAATACTGATCAGCTGCCTCTTATTAAGACAGTTGAAGATGTAAATCAAAATGATTCAAAGTTTATTTCAAATCCTACTGATGATTCTGCTTCGAAGTTGAATTTTAAACTTGTTGAAAGTACTACTGTCACACGTACATTGGTTTCTAGTTTAACCAAACGTCGAGGTAGAGGTAAAAAACACCATGGATTTCGCCGTAACTTTTCATCTGTACAGTCGAATACAATCGGTGCATCTGAATCAATCCCTTTGACAAATACTAGTCTTGTTTCATCATCATCAAATCCGACTAACGATCAACACGTAGAAACTAGTCAACATGTTGTTCGAATGCCTAAATCAACTTCTTCTAAAGGTAAGCTTGTGTAGTTTTCAATCAGTACTTTCTTGCAAAATAATTAGTTTTTATTATTGTATTTATAAGTGTACTTTAGTTTCTAATTCCTGTCAGTTAGATTAGAAACTGTCACCGATACAAATTGCTGTTTTGCGAAATGGACGGTAGTTGTCTATAGTTCTAGTCTATTGATTCTAACAATTTTCTATTTACGGAAGAATTACGAAATAATTTTTTTGGGATCTAATCAACATCAACATTCTCGAGAAAGGTAGTTCCAATATATATCTAGTGATTTTTTAAATTTCAGATCTATGCTAAATGTAGTCACAACTTTGTAAACATTTGAACTAAAATACACAAAAATGTAGCTCCAGTCATCAGTGAGATGTGAGTAAGCTTTCAAAAAGGCAGTACGAGATGTAAGAAAAAAATCACGACAAAACATAAGCTACTTACTAGTAGCCTAATCATTTTAAATTACAATAATTGTTTTTCGTATTTTCAAGAAATTTCACATTCTCATATCAATGTTTACATGTGGTTTTCAGGGAAATCTCGTGTTTCTCGTGAACTTCGTGGTCTTGTCACTTGGGACGCTGTAATGGCCGAACAACGCAAACGTGAACAGGAATTAAAAGACATCGAAGCTAAAGGAGGATCTGCCTCACTTCATCCATCTGAGGTGACGTTATCAGTTGTAACTGACTTTATAGCCTCTGTAGAAGAAGAAGGTCTAACTCCTAAACTTCGCAGAACTCGGCAAACTAGCGGCAGTGTTCCCAGCCATGTTACGCATTCAGCTGTAGGATCTGATGCTGCTTCTATGCAAACTACAATTGCTGGTAGGTTTTTTTTATCTATTGCCTAATGAAATTTTAGTATCCATTAAAATACATTAAATATGAAATATTCATTAACTGTCTAGTACACAATCTCCTTGATCATCTGTAACATGAAAATTCATACACACTCATTTGGAATTCTCATATTTATCGCTCTACATATTTTGTGTTGATGATTTTTTTGAATGATTAAAATATTTTCAGTGTTTTTTTTATTTGTCTTGAGTTAAGGAGTAAAATATTTTATATCACTCAGATAGATCTTACGAGTTATGGCTTAGTAGTTATAGTGTTTAACTAAGTCGCTCGTTTGAACTCCACTTTTTACTTCCGTTTAAATAATCGGATAGTAACATGAGCTTTCATACATAAAGCGTGACTCAAAGCTGATCGTATGGATCTGTACTTCGTAAGTACGTTAGATAAGTCAAATCTTATTCACGTTTATTGAGTTACTTGATATGATGACATTCACACACACCTATTTCAAACTCAACAGTGTACACTTAGAATAATTTTAATGTGGGTTCTTAAAAGTTCCTTTTTTCTGGTGTTATCTATGTTTAATCATTTTATCAATAAAGTTGAATTGTGACGGATAATAGAATCCAGGAGTAAATTTCGTTTTATTTAGAACTGATCAACTGAATCTACATTTATCCTAATGCCCATGTTAATACTGAATCTGGAATCCAGTAATTTTCTCTTCCATCCCTGGATTTTATTTAAAAATTTTTAGTTTATTGGAAAATACGTATATCCATTCTTTAATATCAACAAAGAAAAAAGTAAAAACCCTTACAAATCAAATATTTTATAGTTACTTTAATAAATTTGACAGTTATTGTATATTTTTTCATTGAGATCATGAATCGATCGATGTTAGACCACCATTGAAAACCTGGGAGCACTAGACGGCTGTTTCGTCCTAGTATGGAACTCCTTGGCAGTGCGCATCCACAATCCCACACGTGTGATTGCGACCTAGGACCTTCGGTCTCGCGAGTGAACACTTAACCTCTAGGCCACTGAGCCGGCATCCAGGTTTTCAATGGTGGTCTAACATCGATCGATTCATAATCTCAAATATTTAACAGTCTCCACAACCCCGTAATGATAGTTACTATATTCGCAATTTCATGTTTTGTATGATTTCTATGATTTTGTATCAGTGAGGTTTATGAAACTCTAATTTTATGTTTATTCAATGAAGGACTTTTGTCCGATAAAAGTCTAAAGTTTGTATTTTTTTGGCATTAAACTTGTGCTAATTTGAAATTTTTGAAAAAATATTGTTTGTGTACTTTGCTTAACCGTCGTGTCTTATACGTGGTAGCCTTCCCGACCACTTATTTATCAACTAATCACTTGACCCTATTAATTAATTTAAAGCTTCCGAACACACTAATTATGAAATAAATTGTCGTGTGAAACCGGGTGAAACATCTTCAGTAGTCGCATATTCTGGACTTAGTACTGAAGTGTCAAGTGTATCGTCGGATAATATAATTTCAGTTCAAAAAACAACCATTCATAAAACAACCGTTGACAATAAACCGTCTACTGGGAATAGTGCAGGTGAATCTCGATTGAATCATTCGGATTGTGATCAGAAAGTAAGTATTTTTTTTAACTGTATGCATGAATATTTTGAAATGACAAGAAAAATTTTCTAGATTCATACTTGATAAGAACCATTATATGTCGACTAGTGACGAACTTCTAGAGGTAATTCCTAAAGTTTCAGGTTGAATGTGTTGCTAATGGTGCTTGTGATGACGGACCATATTTACCGAACCTGGTGAAATATGTTGAAAATTTATTCGTCGCTGGCTCAATAGTTAAAAAACTAAGCAGTCTTATATATATATATATATATATATATATATATATATATATATATATATACATATTTGTGGTCATGTTATATAAATAGCAAGACAGGTTTTAGCAAACTAATTCATTGCTTTATTCCATACTTTTTATCTGATTAACGTTCATTTGCTATGACCGTCTTCAAAACACTGCTATTTTTCCGATTTCAGTGTTCGTTTTCAGTCACCTCAGATGCAAGCGAAATGGAATCTGCATGTGTTACCCAATATTCTCCAATTTCTGTAGAACAAGAACCAAACGAATCACAGCATGCTTCATTTGAACAACTTGATGACGGTGCATTTCAGTCGTCAACTACAGTTAAGCGGAATATCAGTCCCTTAAAATCACCGGGTCGTCGTAAAAAGAAGTACAAAATTAACCGGTTGTTTAAATCCCATCCTTGTGACTCGGATCGCCACCCGGAACAATATATACTTAATGATTCAGTATCTCAAAGTTCTGTTACTGTCGACTCTCGGCAACAATTTGACACCTCTTCATCTGTTTCATCTCATCCTGTTCCTTCGACGAAGCGTAAACGACAAACACAACATGGGGTTCTTACAAGTACAGATCCAATTCTTGAAGATCCCAACTTCGTGGAACAGTCTGCACGTCTCCAAGAAACTGACGGTTCTGATGCCTGTGATATTTTACCTACTTCCGCCTCATCATCACTTCCAAGCAACGTAAGACGTTCTTCTACTTCACGTAGCTCAGCTCTTCCTCCTCGAAAACGCTACAAGGTGGGAATAGATACATCCAACACCAATGAAAACCATGCTTCCTCTGTTATGGATAAAGATAATTTGAGGGATTTCTGTAAATCAGGTTTCAATGAGCCCAACTTGTCTGTAACTGTCATAGATTTAACAGATAATGCCTCAAGTACTGGAGTTTGTCATCTTGGAAATGCTGATATATCTCTATCAAAACCTGAACACAGAAAACGTGGTCGAGGTCGTCCGTCTAGACGCTTAGAAAGACTGGAAAGCAATAGTAATATACCAGTTTCCCCCTGCTTATCTTCTGACTCAGTTTCAGTAACTTGTGATCGTCCAAAACGTGAGGTAATTTGGAATCTCATATTCATTATTTATGATTGTTTTTTGATTTAAAACGTCTGCTAAACTATTAAAAGTCAACTTAACTGAAACCTGTTCGATGATGACATATAATTATATGTACATGTATGTGCAAGTAACAAATAAATTATCGAAAGCAATCATTACTTATTAAGGTATTCACCATAAAATTTTCATCATCTCTATCACATATTGTGAATGCTCATGACTGTCAGCACTCCCTTAGTTAGTTGGTTCATATGACAAGTACAGTATCTGATAGATGAAGATGTAAATTTATTGAATACCATTATCATCATCTGTTAGCCATTCGTTGTTGACACCGTTAACACTAACAGTAGTGACACAGTAAAATTTTATGTTTAGTTATTAATCACTTGCCTAATGTGGAAATTTTGAATGATTGAAAATTTATTCATTTATTTAAACCCAGAAATATTTGTACAACTGGACACAGAAATAATTATGCACCATGCAGTAAGAAAACGAAATGGTAAAGTGACAGATGATGGAAAGTGAATACTATCTAAAAAAAACCCAATTAAATGAGTAAAAAAAAGTAGTTAAAAGACAATCATATATACTCGGAGAAATACTTCATTTATAAAATACAACTGGAAAAAATTCTTTACACTAAAAGAGTTCATCTCTCTTTTACGAAAAGTTTACAACTGAAGCTCCATCGACTTCCACTTTGAGCAATAGATAATCACATCTCAAGCTACTAATTTATATAAAATATAGAAATTCAACTAGCAAGCCTTGATGACCCAATATATGCCATTTCTAGATAACTTTCTTTCATACCCCGGTACTGTGTTGTAAACTGATTACATCTCTGCCCCCGAATGTTCTGGTACGCCCGAGGGTAGAAAGAGTCAGCTCTCCCTCTCGAAATGCTCCCACATAATCACGTGCATACAACCACTGCCAGGGAAGTCTTACTCACCTCCTCACACGATGGGTGTTGTTTAAAAAACTGAGAGGACGAAAAGCGAATGTCCGGGTTGGTGGACTCACCTAGGGGAGTTGGAAAACTCTGATTCCAAACCAATGATGAACATGGGCTCCAGTATCCTGAGGGAACAGATGGCGTATGAACCAATCGTTGGTCGCCGACTACCTTGGGATTGCATCTCCTGACGTTGTTCCATTGTGTTGTGGATTAGACCTTTAATTCGAAGGCCCCGGCTGATGTTTCAAAATGATCCTAAAAGTATGTTATTATCATTACTGAGATAGAACACAATTGCTGAATCTCATCAGTACTAACATGCTGTTACCACCGAATGTTAGCAATCCTTTGGAGGATGATGTGGCATCAAATTGAATGTGAGTAATTGTCACCAAAAGCATTATAAATAGTTATCCATCCTAATCGTTTCACTAACACGGTGTATCCGATACAGATCAGTTATTTTATAATTAACTTAGTTGACAAAACTGTACTATAGTGATGACCTTGACCATCATATCAGCTAGTCTTAAGACAGTGTTTAATTTACAGTGAAAATATAGTAAGATTACAATGGTTAAACAGTTTTGACATGATAATTAAAGTATCATCACATGTTGAACTAAATACGACCGTACGTAAAATGGAGTTAGAGTTAGGGATTAGTGGTTAAGCTAATGATAGCAGTTATGATAATGATTTAAGGTCGATATTTTTCTTATTGACACAGGCACCATTGACTATATCCTGAATATCACATCAAGTGTGTTCAACGAGCAATTAGCGTTTTAGATCCAATCTGTACTAGAAACAGGCGTTTCTTGCAATTATGCTTACACATCATGTCATTGTTTATAGTTTAGTTGACACAAAACATAAATTTATCAATCAATACAAACATTGTTTTCTTTGCTTTGGGGAAAATACAGACTATCTGTCTATGGGTTTTGACTTTGCCAAAATTTCAGAGGATCTATTTGAAATTTGATATGATTGTCAGTTTAATGTAGTTTGATTTCTTAATGAAAAATCTATTGTTCTATACATACATTTTTACTCAATATAAACTCTTAAATTATTTTGTAATCAAACGACTTTGATCGACGATTTTGTATGTTGTTACTTAAATCACTACCAATAAATGACTAAAACTCAATAATCTCCATAACCCTACACTGATAGTTAACGTGTTCTCGCTAGTGCCTAGTTTCGAGAAAGAATCCTATAAGTTCTGACGAGAAGCCGTCACCAGTGGAGTTCAACTGTGTCGTGTGTGATGCAGTTACCAACCAACATTAATACCGTGGGACCCCAGCCTAGTGGTTTAGTGGTTAACTGTTCGCGCACATAATTGAGGTTCATACGTTTGAGTCCCGTATGCGGAATCATGGATGCGCACTGTCGAAAAGTCTCGTGCTAGGACGAAACAGCTGTTCAGTTCTTCCGGGTTTGCAATGGTCGTCTATCATTTATCGGTTCATGATTTCAATAAACAGTTGTTCTTTTGATTGATATTGACCTTCATTTTACTGTTTCCTTTTTTCATGGCATTGATTTTCAAGGCGGCAGCGATGGGATTTGCTAGTTTAGTTGCTGCAAACTTGAATAATACTGGTGTCGCTATCAATTCTGCACCAGAAACACCAGAAACTATTAATGTTAGATCGGAAACTGGAAGTTTACCATCTCCTACTACAAATATCAGTTGGGTTGAACAACAACAACAACACATCGGAACTTTAGAAATACAAGCCTGTAAGCCAACTGTATCTCGAGGTCGTGGTCGCCCTCCTAAGCCCAGACCTATTCAATTACCCGTTGCTGAACATATGCTAAATCGAAGTCAGTTTTGTTATATTTCATTTCATTGAATTTCTGTTCACTGTTTGTCGTTTTTCATGGTCACGGTAATTTGAGTCAACGCACTAGACAATGGTATGCTGTATATTACTGACTAACAGACTGACTTTATAGCTAGTTACTTCCTAGATATTTTATAACAATTATGTTGATTGTCTCTAGATATAACAATCTACAATCACTAATAAAATGGGTCCTTACAAATTAACCGGTCCTAATAAGTAAACGGTTGTTTTTTGGCTAGTAGTATTGTGCTTTGTTCGATTATTTGGTTTACGTATGAAGAGCATTGCACACCGTAGTTAGCTGACAACTATCCCTATGGACCTTCATTTCCTTTAGCAGAAGCTGTATTGTGTGATCATATGGATTTCTGGAACAAATACTTTGACTTGTCGATGCTTTTATTCAACTTGTAAAGCAACCGTTTACTGTTTTATTGTATGAAATAACCATATTCTGTTAATCAAATTATCGTTTATATTTTATTTTATTAAATGTGATAGATTTTGACCTAAGATATTGTTCAAGTTTTATGATGATTTTTCAACCAATAAGTTAGTCAGTCGAATGCAACATAGAACCTGGCACATGTGTACATCAGTCCAGGTTGGCATATTCAAGTAGGACAGCGCTATGAAACTGGGTAAATCTCAGGTGTAAATGTAGTCGCAAGATTATTAGTAGTAATAGAAAAGATAAGTCATCTAAGATACAGATCAACAAATCGTATAAATTGATATTCGTTTATATTTCTGTGAACCAGGGAGTTATAGTATAATTGATATTTTCACACTGTTATCATTTTCAGGTGCTGTGGATTCAGAGAACATGTTGGATTCAATTTCAAGGTTTGTCGGTTGTTTTGTTTTATAGTTAGTTGCATCTATAACGTCTACTCTATGCATTTCAATTAATTACTATCACTACTTTAGGGTAGACTATTCTGTTCAGATATATTATATTATCCTTTAGGAATCATTGCTGGCAAAATATCCGGAATCGAGAATTCTAATGTCAAAGAAATGTTCATCCGTCATGTCATTTTTTTTCGTATTTCGTGATTCACTGGTTTTTGTCAGCATCAAGCAAGTATTAAACAATTACTTATAAATTTCGATAATGTAATAAGAAGACAAAAATTATCAGAATTATGTGATATATTAGCTCAATACATTTCGAACGTTCTGATCACACGAAAATTCAAACCCCCTTTTCTATTCAAAAAGAGTTTGTTCTCACCGTAAACCTTACTTACCTACTTACTTACGCCTGTTACTCCCAATGGAGCATAGGCCGCCGACCAGCATTCTCCAACCCACTCTGTCCTGGGCCTTCTTTTCTAGTTTCATCCAATTCTTGTTCATTTCTCTCATGTCTATCTCCATTTCCTGGCGTCATGTGTTCTTTGGTCTTCCTCTTCTCCTTTGGCCTTGAGGATTCCATGTGAGGGCTTGTCTTATGACGCAGTTTAGTGCTTTCCTCAATGTGTGTCCTATCCACTTCCAGCGCTTCTTCCTGATTTCTACCTCTTCTGGGATCTGGTTTGTTCTCTCCCACAGTACGTTGTTGCTAATAATGTCCGACCAACGGATCCGAAGTATTTTGCGTAGACAACTGTTAATAAACACCTGTATCTTCTGGATGATGGCTTTCGTAGTTCTCCAGGTTTCTGCCCCATACAGTAGAACTGTCTTGACATTTGTATTGAAAATCCTGACCTTGGTGTTGGTTGGCAGACAGTTGCTTCGAGTTCCAGATGTTCTTCTGTTGTAAATATGCTGCTCTTGCTTTGTCGATCCGCGCCTTCACATATGCGTCAGATCCACCGTGTTTATCATTAATGCTGCCCAAATATGTAAAGGTTTTCACATCTTCGAAATCTTCTCCGTCAATTGTGATTGGATTGGTGCACGCTGTGTTGTATCGGAGAATCTTGCTTTTTTCTTTGTGTATATTGAGACCTACTGCTGCTGAAGCTGCTGCTACAATGGTCGTTTTCTCCTGCATTTGTTATTGCGTTTAAGATAGAAGAGCCATATAATCTGCGAAGTCTAGGTCGCCCAGCTGCATCCTAGATGTCCACTGTATCCCGTGCTTCCCTTCAGATGTTGACGTCTTCATGATCCAGTCGGTCACCAGGCGAAAGAAGAGAATATGGAGTATCTTTGCAGTTACTGCTACGTCTCCTTTCAGTGCCTCTGCTGGAATATTTTTTGGTCCTGCTGCGTTGTCACTCTTGATTTGTCTGATGGCCGTGCTGATTTCTTCAATTGTTGGTGGGTCAACATAGATTGGGAGGTCCATGGGTACTGCTTCGATGTTGGGTGGGTTCAGTGGGGATGGTCGATTCAAGACTTCTTTGAAGTATTCTTCACCTGTTTCTTTGTTCTTCATGTTTCCTCTTGTAGCCTTTTCTGCCGTCATTGCTAAATCTTCCACATATTTACGTTTGTCGGTTCTGATGCTCCTCTTCACTTGTTTGTTTACTTCTGTGTATTCAGCTTGTGCCTTGGCTTTTTCTGCTCTTGTTCGACTGGTATTGATTGCTGCCTTCTTGTTCCTCCTTTCTTGAATCTAATCCAGTGTATCAACAGTGATCCATTCCTTGTGATGGTGCTTCTTGTGACCCAGGACCTCATGACATATTGAAGTGATTGCCTCTTTTATCCCTTTCCAGTTGCTCTCCATAACATTTTCTTCTCCATTGAGTAGATCATGAAAGGCCTGGAATTTTATTGCTGAGGGCTATCTTGAATTTGTTGAGTTTGTCAGTATCCCGAAGAAAAGCCGTATTAAACTTTTGTGATGTTGTCCACCCCGTTGTCCAGCGCATCTTGAGTTTCAATTTCATCTTGGCGGCTAGCAAGTGATGACTTGATGCTATATCAGCTCCTCTCTTGGTTGTCACGTCCTCCATAGTCCTCCTGAACTTTTTGTTGATGCAGATATGGTCGATTCGGTTTTGTGTAATGTGATCCGGTGAAGTCCATGTGGTTTTATGAATGTTACTGAGTAGTGACATTCAGTCATATCCTGACTGAATTCTATCGATTAGGTTGCAACGAAGATGACACAAGTTCAAATCTCACTTGACGAATCTGTTCCGTCAGGTTTATAGTTATACCTTGCCAATTTGTTCCAAATAATACAAAGCCCAAGTCAAACGGCTTTCCTGTCATCTACTTCAAATCAATTAACAAAATTTTGTGTTACGGTAAAATTCAGTTTGTCATATGTTTTACTCTTGTTATGTAAAACACTTAATTAATTTATTTGCATAGACGGAAAAATATTTATTCTACTATTATTTCAATTTTTTAATTGTTTTTCGTATTCAGTCGTCCTCTTCAGACTGTCAACGAATCGCCGTTATCGACATCATCCACCACACATGCACAAGAATCAATACAGGTTAAGGAAGCTACTCATCAATCGTCTGAACAGAGTACTGAAAATCAACAGATGAGAATCAATGAAGTTCCAATTGATACAGCATTGAAAGAGGTAATTTGTTCCCACCATATTCGATTTATAAATCTGTTTATTTTAAACGTGTTTTACTCAGTTTTCCTGTGAATAATCCTCTGAATTGTAAATTTTTCACAACTTACCATATATTGGTATAGGCTAGCTAGCAGTGGAATACAAGACACGCGTCTCTCCCTATTTGGGATTCGTCTTTAACCGGATATACATGTTGTTATTGTTGAAATTCATGAAAACACATTTTAGTCAAATAGAGAAACGTTCAAGTTTTCACCAACAGATTCTTTGTAGTTTAATCTATCTCTATGAGTAGTAATTATGCAATTGTTGATAGTCACTTGAAGCTCTTTATATCTGATATTTACCTATAGTATGTTCTATTGAGAACCATTTTGTTAATAGTCGGACAAGTTGTCTTAAAAGTAGTCTACATCACGAAATATCACGAATCCAATAGATAAAATGATCATCCCTTCTGTTGATAGTATTTGATTATCGTTTTTGAAAGATGGTTGCTTAGGGGGAGTTGTATTTACCAACGAACAAGTAAATTTAATGATGTTAAACTTATAAAACACTCGGTTTCTTCTCTCTCGATTGCATATAACAGGCAATTTGATATTATCCATTAATTCAAACATTAAACCTTATGGCACCATATTTCATGGGGGCATTAATTAGACAGAGTTTCTTGGATTCTTGCGTACAATGAATTCATCTATATAGGTACAAAACGTTTTTTGGATTATAATCGATGTCAGTTTATGATATGCATTTTATCCCGTAAACGCATAATCCCTACCTGGAATGCCTGAATTAACCAACAACAATGTGCATACCCCCCCTAAATAGAACAGACAAATAATCTGTATCCATATGAACAAATTCATATAACTTTGCTTTTTGATTTACAGGCAGAGTAACACATTAGAAATATCAATAATTCTATTAGGTATGTAACATCTGTTTTTACTCTGTAATATTATTTTGCCCATAAAACATCCATTTAAAAAAGCTCTGTTCTGATTTGTTAGAAACCGATTGAATTTCGTCGCAGTTATTTTAATCCGATCTCTTTACTCTACTCTTGATCCGATCTGGTAACATCATTTTAAAATTTCGTTTTACTTCACTTTTATTATCTATCGTATCATAAAATTCTAATTATTTATTTGTAGACTGACGATAGTGCTATATCTCGCTCCCAATCAGATTCAAATAACTCTTTAACAATGTCGACAAAGTCATCGAAATTGCTATCGATAAAACAGACAAGCAAAAAGAATTCTTTACAATCTAGCATCAAAATGAAACCCGAAGTCGATCATTTGACTATCAAAAGTATGGCTAATTCATCTATTCTAAGTTTGGATGCTTCATCAACATTATTAAATCAACAACACTGTCGTTTACCTAGTCGTAATAGTTTTTTCAAAGATGCTACCATATCCAGGTAATTGCTACTTCTTTAAATGTCAAATAAAATTTTTTTGGAGTATATATATATATACTTGTCTATATGATGTACTGCTTTCAGTGTATCTCACCTGTCTCTTGATGAAAACTTACTGACAAATCAACTTAGAACAACATAACTAGTTCTATAACCTTTTGAGAGACTAGGAAAGTACTGTACATGTATTCGTCTTTGTTGGTTAGTTGTTGAGATCTGTGTATTTGTGTAACTATATAATCTGTTATCACAATGTTTAACTCGTAGAATCAATGTTTGTGTGTCGAACTCTTATGAAACTAACATATATCATATCTCGACGAAGTTTATACTGTAAACGTTTGAGCATATAGTACATCATCTGGTGCATTACTTTGCCGTTTACACCATACAAATAGTCCTGAAGTTCTGAAACTTTTGTAGTATTAGCTTTCATGAGTACTACCTCAAATTTTGAAGAGTTTATTTCAATTTGCCTTTGCTTAATTGGTGAAATTCTAATCAATTATTTTCATTGGTTTTCATTTTACATCTAATTTTTTCTTCTTCTAGTTTGGAACAGATTTCATTTCTCAAAGATCGTTGTTTAAGTGGTCCACTGTATGAATTATTTTGTAAATTTCTTGATGAACCTGATCCACTCGAACCAAATTATCGGCTTTGTGCTCCTATAATATACTTACCATCACCTGAAAGGTAAACGTCATAGTTAATTAGTAAATTTGTTTTGGTAAATAGTTTCATTAATCTTGTGATACAACAGTGTTTTTTTAAAATAGTTTTGGGACTACGTAAAATTACTTGATTCTACACAAATTCGGTATGTATTTGTAATAAATTTTCTCGTGAATATAACTTTTGATCGTGGTATATGCTACTTATGCTGACAGATATAAGTAGTATGTAACAACAATTGGAGGTGGAATATCTGCTTAGAGAAATTTTAGTTAAACAGAACATGAATGTAAACAGAGAGCTACTGGAATAATGACTGAATTTTAAGAATCATAAAGTATGATTTTACATTAAACAATAAATCGGTTTTCTCTACCTAAATTTTTGTTCAGTTTATATGATAATTCATAATTAATACAAAATCTTCAGTCCTATTGTTCTCATATTTCAATGAGTGTTTTTCTCAAAAACGTCCACAATATATAAACCACTTCTCAGTTAAATTAAATTCATCATTTCTTATTATTGTAAACATATAAGGTCATTGGTCACTTGATGTTGTTTTACTTGTATCTTCCTATTGTTATTTATGACTCCAATTGATCAGTCTCATGTTGGCATCTGTACATCCTGTGTAGATTGCCTCGATATAGCCTTAAGTCACAAGCTTTTTAAGGTCATTGTGTTTTTTTTGTTTTGTTTTACTTCTTACTACCTTGAGAAAAAGAAAAGATGAATCTCTTTTAAACTTATTACACTAGAGTTGTATGTATTGGATGAAAACCCGGTTATGGTTTTTTTTTAACTGGTCCCTAGTTTCTCCAGAGTCTTATTGACTTGACCTTAGAAAAAAAAACGGTAAACAGAAAATGTGTAATATAAAAGAAAAGATAAAGTGTATGTGTGTGTGTGGGGGGGTCATTTTGTATTGTTGTATATATCAGTTAAATTAATAATGTTAATTATTTTTATTATTCTCATACATAGGTATCCGGAATTTTATCGATTTACCTTATCATCACATTTATCTGGTTCTGGATTAAGTGTTAAATTTACATCGAATTTTACTAATCGTCTATTTTCACCAATTGGTGATAATGATAATAATAATGATGATGATGAAATTTATCATGTTGAATATCCATCACTTTGTTTAGCCAGTATTGCATCACGATTTATTATAAATTCAATAAAAGATCAAACATTAAATAATAATAATAATAATGATAATTTGTCACCTCATCATCATCATTTATTACATGTTGAATTATCAGAAAAAGAAGAAAATCATTTTCTCATAGTTACAAATGCTAATATTATGGAAAGTTTATATTCATTAGATATAGCTATGGATAATATGTTCACTGTATGGGAAGCTTTTACTGGACGTCGTAGTTGGTTTGGTCGACGTTTAATGAAATTAAAAAGTGTTTATATAAAACATCGTGTAAGTAGATTTTTTGTTTGTTTGTTTGTTTATATTAGGGTTAAGTGTATAATATATCTCATCGATTTTTTGTTTTCAGATTAGGATTGTCCTGTTTTATCGTTGATCATTTCTGTGTACTCTCAAATTATTTTAACTGTAAAAAAATTTTCTGGCAATTATTTTCTGTTTCGTGAATTCCCGTTTTATCTCACGTAACCGACAAGATCAGATACACTCTTATTCTTGATAGATAATGGTGAATTTTCACGTTTGTTAACTTTCGATTTTGTACGGTTCTGAACAGCTATTTTTTTATCATGCTCTGAAGCCTTGCTACCTGAAAGTTTGTGTAGTACATTTCCCTGTTTGTATAGTAATAGAAACTCAATGCTTTCTGTGACAGAACATCTGGGAATTGTCTGTTTGCTCATGTGTGACACTATATACTAGGTTGTGATCATACTTAATGTTTAATTAGTTATGTATTAATGTGTAGTTGTTTAGAAGGAACACTTTTTTGCTTCCCAATCTTTAAAACTTTGATTAAAGACCGAATGCTTAACTAGAGTGAACTAAACCTGTTCATGAATACAGGAAATACCATACTCATTTTAAGTGTTTGATATCCAATTAACTACTATACTGTCTATGTATATCAATTAAGAGCTTCCCAGCTTATTGATTCCAACCTATCAATTTATTTTCATTCATTTGAAGTAACACAGCTTTCCTATAATTGAAATCAAGAGTCAATCTAAGGTAAACCATGATTAAATACTTGAAAGCATTAAACGGCCGTTCCACCTACAGTCTCTTTTACGGGACTCGAACTCAGGACCTTCAGTTCCATGACCGGACTTTTAACCTCCACTCGATTATTAACTGATTTTTTGTCCTTTTATGGTAGCTAGCAGTGAAGTTGCATGGTTCTGATATATATTTCTCACTTCTTACTTACAAACTTTTAACATGAACGGTTCTGCTGAGGACTTGATAACAGCTAATGATACAAAACACTTCAATGATTAACCGCTGACACAGTAGAAAGTCAGTGTAGTTGAATATTTTTTCAGAGCAACTTGAAATGATACAGTTCAGTATATCTAATAATGAGTACTTTAAGCTAAGTTACACAGAATATTAACGAACGAAGACTGCCAAGCAATCAGAAATGGTCACTTAGATATTTAGACGGGAAAAAGCAGTTGTGGTTACCGTTAAGTGAAACTTTCATATAGTTATTAACAGAGATCTAGTAATCTCACGATTTCCTTACCTCAAAGTTATCACTCCTTGCCTGAAACAACACAATATTACCCACTAGACTACATTCTGGTTATTGTATTTTCAATGTTATATGTAAACTAAAATCATAGAAATATTTTGGATGTCGCGGTAGGGTTGTTTGTGTTATGAAGGTCACATTGTTAACAACTATTATACACGCTTCAGTTATGAGGGCTTCAATCTCCCCATTTTTGCTCATTTCATCTAGTTCTGTGATTAAAATTTTGGCAACTTGAACCGATGTACTCGTGTGGCATATGTTTACATTGGATTTTTTTGAGTGGCAATTAAACAGCAGAATACAAACTAATCCATGCTTTTTCATAATTGAATCAATCAGAAAATTATTGTTAAGTTTTGAATTTTTATCGCTCTTCAAGCTTGACTTTTTCAGAAAGCAAACATCTATCCTAAGACGTTATCACTGTTGTTGTTGTTGTTGTTGTTGTTGTTATAGCAGTATTTGTTTGTTTACAATAGAAAAAATCATCAACATTTTCAAGCAGATCGACATGATTATGTTTGTGTGTGTGTGTTTTTTTTTTCAATTTCCCAATATTTACTGATCGTTTCTGCTTGTTTTCTTTTCGTAGACTAATTTGATTGAAAGTTTAAAGTTGGAGAATCACATACCGGTTGCAATGCCAAAATCGTTTATACCATGTATAATTAAATCACAAAATAACAGTTCTAAGAAAAAAGTAAGTTGACTGTTAGATTTTTCTTTTCCTTCATATTTGATACTAATTTTGTTATCATATTGTTCTGGTATATTCTTATACACTATGATTTCGTTTGTTAGTGTTCTATACTCATTAGGATGTTTATTATGTGTAATATTTCTCACCAAGTGAATTTTATCTAAAGCGTTCGTTAGGTAAATACACTCAGATAAGTTTGAGTTATATCGCTGTTAATATTTACGATTGAGTTTTCATCAATTCTTGTTGCCGTATATGGACTCCTTTAACCATTCCTTCGATGTAATCGTTATGAATATCAATGATTGGATAACACGAACCTTACTGATAGAGACAGGTATATACATTAGCTCCGTTTAGCGAGCTTGTGGCCATCTGGACTCAGTTGATAACGCGTTGGACATTAAAAGCGAAAGCTACACGAATTTTTCAAAGTTGCTTATATATATGTATTAAATATTCACTATATGAACTATTTTTCACTTTCATTTAATTACTTAGACTGATCGTCGTGCACTAGAACGTGGTGCTGAAGTTATTCGATGTTTGTGTGGTTTTCGTGTTGAAGGTGGTCATGTTATGGTTCAATGTGATTTATGTGCATCGTGGCAACATCTACCATGTTTATGGTGGGCACTTAGTCTGGCTATTCGTAATGATTCCTCCAATGGATTAAATTCAAACTTAGTTCGTTTATGTCAAACAGCGTTAATTGCTGCACAAGCTGTTGGTGGCGGTGGCGGTAATACAGTTGAGGTAGATGTGAAAGGTGAAGATGATCGAGAAGTTGATGCTCCTTATATATGTCCAGTTTGCTTGAAATTGGATAATTTGACAAAAGTACGTTTCATTGTATTTTTTTGAAATACTTGTAAAAAATCAATATAATTATCTTCATTTTTTCCTATTTCTTTGGAAGTTATCCATAATTTCCATTTATTATTTACATCAATTAATCTAATGGATATTTCATTTGGTAAATACTTCTGGTATGGTCTGATGCGTACTTTTATCAAATGATATTTTGTTCATTACTGATTGGTAAATGTTTCAGCTGAAGCAATAAATTCAATATATAGTTGGTAGAGATTTGCAATCCTTATTCTAAATAAATACTTGGTTTATAATAGAATCTATGGTTTGTGTTTGAACACATTTATCTAACCTGTTGGATAACAGTTCCAACAGTTTCATGGAACATCGATTTAGATTCTGTGAAGTGTTTTTCTCATGTAGAAATGGAAAACACTAGCATTCTAGAATTATGAATGATAAGATGGTTGTATGATCTGTATTACTGTGGTTCGGCTTTCTATAGGATTTAATTGCTTTCTTTATTTTTATTCAAAAAAAAAACACAGACTGCTTACTTTTATTTGAAGACCAAATATCTTGGTGGTGTGGTTATGGATATACACTACCGAGAGATCCCATACCAGGACGAAACGACCATCCTATGATTCCAGGTTCTCATCGTTTGTCTAACTTGAATCAGTTCTGGATTTCAATAAACCATAACAATCTCCACAACCCGATACCGACAGTTCATTTTTCCTTGAATCCTATAATCTATAGTTAAAGTTGTTTACTACCCCAAATACTGTTACTACTTTAGCATTTCTGTAATGTAATGTATTGTGGCAATGTGAATCGATGCACTCATATTTCCCTAGTTCTATATTACTTAGAATTAATGAACTGTTTTTCATGACCTATTTATTATAGTGCATCGATTCATTTCCACTTCTTTATTGGTATATTTTCTTTTACTTAGTATAAATTTGGTTATACTGAAAAAACTAAACATTTTAGGTTTCCTGTCTAGCTAATTAACTGACTAACTAACTACTATATAATTTAGAATGAATAAGTCGATTTTCCTAGACATTAATCTCTCTACATATATGTCATCCTCATATTTTCTTTATCTCAACAAATGTTTCTTGTCATTTCTTCAAATGTTTTTCACCATCCCATTGATTTTTATAACTAATTTTTCTATTGTAAAGGAATATCCTCGTTCATTATCTGCAGCGATGAGTTTAAACGATGTAGATGCTGTCTTTGACTTACAAGATACACTGGTGAAAGGTGAACATGAATTCTGGACATTGGGTAGTCCTGATGGAACTTGTCAAATACGTACAGATGATTATGCATTTGTTAATCGTTTTTGGTTAAATCATCTCAATATTTCACAGGATATATCAAAGGGAACAACAACTACTGTATCAATGAATGTTAAACAACTTTTAGATCAATCCCTACAGTCTCCAGTGAAATCTGCTTATGATCGTATTATTGTTCGAATTTATCGATTATGGAAGGATGTCAGGTTCGAAATTTTTTTATTATGTAGTAATTTTTGATTTGTTGAATATTTTTTTCACGATACCACTTAATCTTTTCTGTTGTACATCATCCACTCTACAGTTTGGCTAGGAGTTGGAGGGGACAGGAATTGTCAACAGGAAATCCTACTTGATCAAGTTCTGATGCTAATGAACACTCTCCAGGTAGCCGTACTCGCTATATTTATTTATTTGAACACATGAATATTGGTTCAAGAGGGCACCAAATATATATGCGCCACACTTTTGTGTGAGGGCTGTGATACTACCCGGATGCTCAGACCGAAGCAGATAGTTTTCTTAGGGGGTCACACCCGGAGCCTTCGACCTAAAGGTTTGATCTACAAGGCAGTGGAGCAACGTCAAGAGATACAGTCCCATGGTAGTCAGTGACCAATAATTGGTTCATACGCCATTTATTCCTCCAGGATCTTGGAGCCCATGTGCACCATTGGTTTGGAATGAGGGTTTTCCAACTCCCCTAGGTGCATTCTCCATGTCGAACATTCTCTTTTCGTCCTCTCAATTTCGTAAACAACATGAATGCCGCGAGAAGGCAGTGAGTAGGACTTCCGTGACAGTGGCTATATACGCGTGGCCATGTGAGAGTATTTCGAGAGGGAGAGCTGATTCTTCCTACACTCGGTCGTACCAGAGCATTTCGGGGCCAGCCGTACTCGTAATTTTGAGGTAACTTGCACGCCTTGCTAACGAGTTTTAATTAGCATGAAACCTAGATTCATGGTTTCCTGGTGATTAATTTTAACAACCTACTATCAAAACAGTACCCGTGCAATATTAATTCAGTCGAACTAGTAACTGTTATTTTGACTTGTTCGATAAAATCCAATCGATACCAAAAGCTTAGCTAAAATTGACATTCGCCATTACTCGATAATCAGTCAGTTTATAATTACTTACTTTTGATTTAGATCATGTAAGATTGGTTTTTTTAAGCTGAACTTAATAGTAAAGCTCAAACATATCTACTATTTCTTACTTTTTCAATAATAATATCTTAGTTTTTAATGATGCCTTTAAACTCATTTGTGATATTGCTGTACGTTCTATATCTCAAACTGTCAAGATTTAAATCACAGTATCCTGGTAATATTTTGAGTCACTGATTTTTCAAAATTTTATTTTCGTGACCGATATTATGTGTTATCGACACACGATGCACCGACTGGGATCATACTACACTAGACAAACGATTCGCCGTCAAATATAGAGAACTACAGTATATGCTTGATAAAAAAATACTTCACTCAACACAATTACAAACTGTCTATAAACTCAGTCCAAAATAGCTGAATATTTGTCACCATCCAACACCCATTGTTCTATCACATTTTACTTTCACTAACGACATTTCAATGCTTTTCAAATCCCTTCAGTGTTATAGTCTACATAATTAAATTTATGAAAACTGTAATGTAGATTGTTGGATAAACAACTATTGTTTCTAACACATTTTTTAGTGGTTTAGCTTGGCTAGAAGGTGGTTTATTTCTCCGTCCATATGATTTACCTCCGATATCGGCAATAACTGATTCATCAAAATGCCCACAATTTTGGCATCTTGATGAAGTCGTCTACGATGAGGCTAGACGTGTTATTCTTCCATTAGACGCTTGGATTGGTAGATGTATGGTGTTATGCCCTTCAGCATATAGAGTTGGTAGACCGGCTGATTTACTATATACAGCACATATAAAAGAATTTATGCCATCACTGAAAAATGACAATCTGAATGATTCCAATTCTACTGCAAATCAGTTTCAATATTTCTTTGTTTGTGAAAAATTATTTGAACAGTCATCAGTTGATAATCATAGTTGTAGATTTGATGAAATATCTCCTGGTTACTTAAAAGTCAGTATGAAGGTATGTGAATTTGAGATTTAAATATCCATAGCAATAATCTGTTGTTATACTTTGTTCTTTTTCACTGTCGGCTAGTTAGATTTTGATGCTGTTAAAAGTTATCTCTCAATCTACTGGTTTTCGGAATGTATAAAACATGAAGACAAACTCTGATTTGAAGTTCATTTTCATGATAGTCCGATATCAGTTGAAAAACAAGGTGTTAGTCATTCACAACGTAAAATCAAACACACATGTAAATCGGTCCAGGTTGTCATACCACTCTTACCTTAGTTACTTCATTGGAATGATGATCAAGCTTACTAATTGGGGTATATTTTCTAAAAATTTTGTTTGTGTTCTATCAGAACGGTATAATTGAAGTGTTCAGTTCAGTGATCGAAAGAGAAAGCTTACCGTTGATTGTACTGAGGTGTTACAACCGTGAGATGTTTTCATTAGACAACCAACATATGTAGCCTATTCACACTGGAGGGTAACTGGCCCAAAACATGAGATGCTTCAAATTACCCTATAGATTCCCATCACTGGTAGCAAGGTCGTTTAAATGTGGTTCTAATTCTCAAATTCTCACACAAGACTTACGTATGATCAGCTTCAAATAACTGTCCTTTTTCCGCGTGCATACTTCCAGGTCTCTTAGACTACTACTTATCTAGTTTTCTTATCAGGTGTTTCAAAAAAGAATATTTACACCGTGTGGGCGTCCGTGAAGTGATGGCTACCTTCATATCTCTAACAATACTTGGGATTACTTTGTATATTACTAAAATTAGCGAGCACTTGATATTTAATTCTGCTTCACGATATCCTTTGTAAGCATCCATTGAAAGTTCAAAATAAAGACAGCATAACTGTTTAGAGCTCTCTGGTTTATAGTAGTCTTTTTACTGATACTAGTACAGGAAGAAAGATAACCTTGTGCTAAATTATCTTCACAAAACCTTATGCCCTAAAGCATTTGTTTCTTCAATTGAGAAAACAGGTGAAAATTTCTCATCTTGGGTAGTCATTAATCACAATTACAAACTCTGTGTCTTTTATGATGATTTCGAGCTAATTACTTTCAGCTAGCTTTGTACTGAAACATACAGTTAACGATTTCATCAGACTAGGTGTATTCAGTTCATGATCTCAATAATATAAAACTTAATAATCTCCACAACCCCTATACTGATAGGTGTATTCTATTAATTAATGAATTCTATATTATTATGCAATATGTGTATATTGTTTAACTAAAATGTTTAGGTTACCCTCCTGAAAGATGTATGATAAGAAATTACACAGTGAAATCTCATATTCGCGATTATTTACCGTTTCATCTGGTAATCTAATAATTCATTTCTAATACTTTTTAACGTAATATATATACACCGTCTCAAAATATTGATTTAATTATTTGTTAAAGGTTTAGAAAATCGTTTTAAACAATATTAAGGTTGGTTCAAATTGTAGAATTTCTGAATAATTGTATGAAGTAGTCGAAAAGAACATGATAATTACAGTCTTTTAACTTTCAACCTACAATCTTACCGCATTAGTATACAGGCTGTTTCTAGGTATCTAATACTTAATGCTTTTTTTAAAAGTTTTAGTCTCTTGAACATACTAGTTAGCCGGAAGTATTTAGATGTGTCGTTTTTACTGTTAAATGAGAATAGTACACAAGAATTCAATTTCTTCCTGATGTTATAAACACCAGCGAATTCGGTAAAAATCTCTGTCATAAAATGAATAAGGTAATTCTGAAAACCAATAAAATGAATACTAGTCATTGTTACATGAAAAATCTTTTTATTATTTTCCCTTACATAGCCGTATTGTTTCCTTCGTAAACCTGATAATCAATGTATTCGTGGTAGTTTACCACGACAGTATTCAGCTGTTGAACTACTCACCCGTGATCAAATACCTTTCTCAGAGGCATCTGTCAAAGATGAACAAACATTTGAAATCAAAACTTCTCCTGAAGAATGTACTACAACATCTGGAAATATGTCCAATAGCGATGAGAAGAATGCTACAGTTCCAGTTGGCAATTTAAAGCAAAAAGTTTGTTTGAGTTTCTTAAGAATTTGTGTTCTTATAAGTTCTATCCAACTTAATGCGTTTTCCTAGTGATAATTTTTTATTTTGCCCATTCAGTAATTATTCGTTTTTCTGGGCTCCTTTTGTGACAGTAGTCATGTCATGGAATTTTCGCAGACTATTATTGGTAGACGAACTATGTTATCGTAACTAATATTTCAAGATCTATCGTTTTTTCTCAAGAAAATAAATAACCTTAACTACACATCGTGTTTTCTTTATTTATTTACTTCAACACATAAACTTATGCACCACACACTATAGTTATCAATAAACTTTTTTGTAAGCTAGGATACCTCCTGAGGACCCAAACCAGAGCAGGTAGTTTTCTTAGAGAGCCACTCCGAGGTCTGGAGGTGCGGTTCCATGATAGCCGATGTCCAATAATACGTTCATACGCTATTTGTTCCCTTTGAGATCGTGGAGCCAATGTTCACGATTGATTTCAAATCAAGATTTTCCTATTCTAATTGGATATTCCGTACCCAATAACTGTGTTTAAGCACCCATTTGATATTCTCTTTCGGTCCTCTCAATTGGGTAAACAACAACCTGTTCGCGAGGATGCAGTCAATAGGACTTTCGTGGGAGTGGTTATTTATGCGTTGCTATATGAAAGCGTTTGGGCTCTTTCTATCTTCAGCCATACCAGGGCATTGTGAAAGGTGTTACACAACATGTCTCAACATGTAAATACAAAATTATTTTAAATGTTCGTTGTCTATAAGACGTATGTTACATCCTTGATCTTCCTACCCAGTAATATACAAGAGAAATCTTGTCTCGATCCAATTTATGGCTTTGATACGATACGCCAATTGGTTCCAGTGTGAGGCTAGAAATGCGTGGGTCTGAATTGAGACTAACGATCTTCGGCAAAATGTTATTCTATCGTATAATTGATTGAAAACGAGAGAGAGAGAACGAGTCAACTAAAACACTACTCGGTTCAAATTAAAGTGAGAAGATACATGGAGAAATAGGTGACTAACATGACCGCAACTCCCAAACAATTAGGGAAATACAATTATGTTCAAACTTGGCAAAGGGCACAAACAGTTACGTTTAAATTACAATAGTTTTGGAACAGAAAAGGCTATAACACTGAATCGTGCATCAAACGAAAGCCTATGGTTTATAGAATAAACTATGGAAAAAACAAATGTTAGTATTTTACAAACATTGGATTAAGTGAAATAGTGTCTCCAAAAATAACTTTCGTTGTTTAACATGGCTTCTTTATTTCTCTGTTCACATCAACATAGTTGTTATTTTTGTTTGATTTTAGGGTTGTCAATTTGTGATGTAATCATTAGCTTAGCTAGCCATCGTGAAATTCGGAGCATGCTATCTTGTCCTATCTAGTATGGTTGGTTGATAGCTAGATGTACTTGTATACCAGTATTGATTTATGCGCCGGAACTTGAACTCAGTACTTTCCACTTCAAACACCTGTTGCTTTATCCACTGAGTTACTGAGTCCAGATAGCTATAGAATAGCTTATCACTTAATCGCTATATAAAACCGTTTCTCAGAGAAGACACATATTATTCCCAACAAAGACTGAAGTTCAGCCAGTATTTTTAAAAAATGAGATTATTGTAGGGTACTATTACTGCTTCGATAGATGTATACTGGCTTTAACTCCCATGCGTAATTTGTCTCTCAAAGCTTCTCATACACGAACTTTGGCTTAATTACTTAACTGGTATTTATTGTGTCAAATTTTTCTGTCCTTAGGTTTTTGTAGTATTGTAGTGAACAGAACACGGGTGGGAACAATCGAATGTATTTAACACAAAATTACAGGACTTGATAATAAAATCTAACAATCATAAAATAAATGCTTGATTTGCAGAATGTCCACCAATTGTCTCAAAATGACTCAGACTTCATTGTTCTTACATTTTCATACAAATTGCATTCTGTTTCAATTCTTTACTGTTCGATCCTCTTGTGTCTCTGCTGTCAGACCTTCTGCTCACGACTAACATACGACTAACTACTTATGTCAATATAAGTAGCACACACCATAGTATGATCTTTGTACTTCTAGGCTTGATTACTCCATAATTGATTTGAGTGCGGTTGTGTAGCACTGCATACAATAGTAGTGATTTTTTTCACCACATACAGTTTTCTAGATAACTTTTAGTTATAAGAAATTTTAAGTTAAATCACTGGAAAGGAAGGTTTATTTCGAGCCAGTGACTTCTTGAAGGCTTTAGTTCTTAGTTTTCAACGAATAGACTACAACCTTACACAATTCCATTTACTATGGACAATTTAGTGAAAATGTGTCATCAGTCTATGAATTCATTTATTATTGGTTAAACCTGTCCTATTAGGTATACAATACCTGATCGGGGGTCCTCTAGATAATTGCAGTCAATGGCCGGAGACTTTGTATGATATGTCTTTCATGTATTTGCTTTTGATCCTACTCCATCTAGATCTTAAGATTTCATGTTCCTTATTTCTATTTCTTCGCTTTTGATCCTGCTAATTTTATTTTGTCGTACTAACGTGGTATGAAAGTTAGGGTTAGTACACATTCGTGCTATGCTGTATCTTGATAAGTGACTATTTATTTATCTATTTCAGTTCGCTCAGTTGAGTAGCACCATTCGTCCTCACAAGATTATTAATATGGTTATCCTGATGTACAGTGACAATGACTTTCAAGATTAAATAATTCCATTCTTAATTTACACTGTAAATGCACTATCACTACAGTTAGTGGATCGGTCCACTTTTAAAGTATATTGTTCCTAATTGTTGATATTTACGTATAAAGTAATAAGTTTTAACTCTTGAAAACGGTTCCATTTTATGCGGAATAATGTTTTTAAATTTTGAAAAAAGAATAACTTAAACATTTTTGTTTACTCCTTTTTTTATGTAATTGATTTATTTATTCTTTGTTGATTCTAAAAATCTAGGGTGAAAAACTGGCTCGTGTTGTTGACTGGTTGGAACGGAAACGTCAAACCAACTCTTCACAATCCACAGTTACATTACCTCAAAATTCCATTGTTCCAGAACAACAACAACAACAACAACAACAACAACAAACTTCCATTTCATTGTTACCCGTTGAAAATAACCCAGTTATTGATGAAATATCATTACCATCATCACGTAGTTTGTGTTCTCGAGGTCGAATTCCACTTAGAATCAATCGTGGAAGAAGTAGAGGTTTCAATAAATCATTGAAACTTACATCATCTAATCCTGTACCATTATTACCTGATAAATTTTCTACATTAACTACTGTACTCCCCGATAAAATTGATGAAATATCATCTAGCAATGAAGATGAATCTCTCAATATTCCCGTTAAACGTACATGTATGTCAGCAAATTCATCACCAACTCAATCAAATATTGTTCAAATATCATCTGAAATTAATGTAGACCATAATTTATTGTCATTAGTCATAATCGATTCAAATAATTCATTATGTAATACAGTTGATAAAAATTCACCTAAACAACTCTCAAATGATCCTCTTATCTCATCTAATACAGAAGAAACTAATGTGAATACTTTAGCATTAAATACTATTGTCCCAATCACTTCTACTACAAATAATAATAATTCACCTCTTAATTCACTTAATACTTTAAAGCCATCTGATTTACAATCTAATGAAGATTCTATAGATCGTTTATCATCAGTAATATTAAAGCCTACATCAAATAATCAATCAATTATTACGTCATCCACTGATGATCATTTGAATATTTCATCATCACCTAGTTTTGGATCAACAAGAAAACGTAAATGTTCCATTACACGTAAAAGATTAGTACCAGAACCAGAATTACTTCATGAAATTATTGACAATCTACAAAATAATAATAATACTTCATGTTTAACTGTTAATCATTTATCTGAATTAAACCATAACAATACATATGATAATATATCTATTGAAAGTTTAAACAATTCAATTCATATATCAGATGATACTAAACACTTATCACCTTCAACTAATCAAATATCTTCAATAGATCGAACATTATCAATCCAATCATCATCATCATCGTTGTTGTCGTCGTCATCTTCATCATCATTATTATTATGTACACATTTATATGAATCAAATTTAATTCGGAATAATGATGATGATGATGATGATGAAACTTGTTTAATGAATATACAACCAATTTTCTCTAGTCATATTACAATTCATAAAGTTCTAACAGAAATTAAACATTTTGCATTGAAATCCAATCAACCAGTTATTATGTCATTTAATCATAATAATAATTTAAAATCAATAAATGATTGTGATCATCAACCTTCAACATCAATTTCCCCAAATTATTCATTGAATCAAATTAATATCACGAATCAACCGATAATCGATAATAATAATAATAATAATAATGTAGAAAGTTCCAACATATTCATAGATGACAGTTCAATAAATCCTTTAAATGAAGACCAATCTATTGAATCATCACATGAAAAGGAAGTCGTTGTAGATGATGATGATGATGATGATCATCATCATCATCATAACATTTCTCCTACTTCAACTGAAAATATATCTCATACTAATAATGATATTGATATAGATGATGTTAATAATAATTGTGCTGTGAATAATAATGTACAAGATGAGAATATTTCATTCATAACAACTAATCATGATAATAATTCATTGTTAGATACTTCTATAGATTTACTCAATAATCTAACTACTACTACTAACACTACTACTACTGAACAAAAAGTTAACGATAGTAGTATTGGTGCTAGTTGTGAATTTTCTACAACCGTCATTTCAATTCCAGATAATAATAATAATAATAATAATAATAATAATAATAATAATAATAATAATAATAATAATAATAATAATAATAATAAAGAATATAAATCATTTACAAAATTCGCTGTTGAAACATTAGTTTCAGATGATTATTCAACCATAAATTCCATTTGTACTACGTATAATTCATCTCCTGAAAAAGATTCATCATTATCCCCAAATAATAATAATACTTTATTAAAACATAATGAATTATCTACTGAATTAAATAATGATATTAATATGATTGATAATTCAACCGTCAACAATCAACAATGTGATGAATCTATTTGTCAAGAGAATACACTTTTAAACTCTTCATCATCATCATCATTATCTGTGAAAGATGAAATCAATCAATTTGTTGTTGAGAATGAGACGACCACTACAGAAATTATCTCTCCTATATCATTAATAACAAATTCAAAATCGATATCTAATGATAATGATTCTCCTCCAATAAGCATTGGAACACCTGTATTAGATGAAAAATTAGATTCCATAGAACACATATCCACTGATATTATACCTGAATGTTTTCAATCAATTAAAACTAGTTATAATGTTACAGATTTACAAACTCCGATTGTTCAAAATTGTCAATTAAAAACAAAAGTAGATACTGATATATCTAAATCACGTCAACCAACTACTACTACTAATATCACTACTACAGCTCATAATAGTAGTAGTATTTTAGCATCTAAAAAATTTAAAGAATCATCTCGTGATTATGGTGGTCATTATGAAAACCGTCATCATTCACATGGACATCATAACTCGTATCAATCAAGAAATTTCAGTAAATTTGATCATTATAGATCATCGTCATCATCAACATCAAAACAACATCCATGCTTTAGTAGTCATCATTCTCATCATAATTCTCGTTATGATCGTAAACACCATACACATCCACCTCATTATCATCATCAACAACAACAATCACATCGTCATGATGAATACAATCCTCGTTATCGTGATTCGTCTTCTTCACATAGATCAAGAGATCGTGATGACAGTTCTCCATATTCATCAAGGCATAATCATGGCGAAAGATCAGTATCGAATTCATCACATCGTCATCAAGATCGCATTTATACCTCTGGAAATAATCATGATCCTTCTGAAGCTTCAAATTGTTAATTAATATAATAAAAAGCTGTTCATAATAAATAGAATTTGTAATCAAGATCTACATTCATAGACATATAATCTTCAGTCTTGTTTCCTGTTTCTCCTCCTCCTCTCTCTCTCTCTCATCTCATTTGTAATCACAACGTATTTGTTAATATTTCTTTTTATCCATAGGGTTTATATATATTGACATGTAGAGTAGAACAAGGAGAGTAGGACAAAATAGAAAGATGATTATGAAAACTATTGAATAAACGCACATCTATTTTGTGTTGATTGATAATTTTCAATTCATTTTCCTTTATTATTATTACCACTAATTTCATTTATTCTTTCATATTGTTTTTTTCTTTAAGTGTGTACAACGTATGTAACAAAGTGTGTGTGTGTGTGTATATATATGTTGTGTATATTGTTATTTTGTGTTGATCACCTTCTCTCTAAGGGTGTTTTAATGCTCCATACACACTCACATACACGTTAATGTAAACTTGACTTACATTGAAAAATATTTGTTTGTTTGTTTTTTGTTTTAAACACAATTACACCTCTCTCTCTCTCTATACTTTAGCCAAATAATCATTTGTGTGTGTGTGTGTATATGTTGTATGTATGTGACACAACGGAGTATAAAGTCCTAAACCTGTCATTTTGTTTTAATTCATCAATGTATGTACATATTAACCACAAGACACATAATATTTTTTCTTTAGATAATTATGTAATTTATACACACATATATACACCTCTTCAATGATCCCCTCTCTCTCTCTCACACACACACATCATTACTGTGTATGGACATTCGGTTGCTAAGATTTCCTCATTCTACATTTATTGATATGCTTTAATTGTCCATTAGACAATGTGCACAGTAATCCTTATTTTGAATTATACATATGATGTATGAATTGAGTTTTATTTTTATTCATGATAATGATACTGAATTCCTTGAAATCAATTATCTTCCCTCACTGCCCCCCCCTCTTTTTTTCTCTCTATTGACTATTACATCTAATGTTGAAGAATTATGTATATAAATTTGCTATTTAGTGATTGTTTTTAAACAAAAACCATTACTATTTTATTGGTTTTCTCTACTCTACTCTACTCTACTCTAATTTGACCAATTTAGTTTCATGAAGGGGAAGGATTGTTTTTAATAATGTGTGGCATTTCTTATCATTATTACTATTATTGTTATTATTATTATTATTATCATCATCATCAGTATAATTTATTTAATTTAATTCTTTTTCTTTACTATGATAATACTAATCATAATAATAATAATAATGTATTTATAAGACGAAATATCTTGCATTATTGTTCTGGTCTTTAAAAACTCACTATTATAGTCATAGATGGTCGGAGATAGTTGTCAAGGTACTAAATTTAATCTGAGTTATGTGTTAGTTAGCATTTGTGTTATAACAAGACGTATTGTTACTTTTTGTACTATTCAAATTTCGCTCAATTTAACTCCACAATTTGAAGTCCTCCACTCAACTCTATTTGATTAATTGATCAGTAGTGAATATATTGATGTAAGTTAAATTGTTCTTGTTATTTTTGAATTAAATATTCAATCGGTACTGACCTAATGAATGACTGTTTCATTTGAATTGTGTAACTTTGTAATAGGGAATTATTTGTTTGATCTTTGGTTTTATAACCAACTATTATCACTAGTATTGTTTCGTCTGGTGTTTCAATTCGAATTTTCTTTGTATGGCAAACATCTCGATCATTAGAATAATGTTTCGTAGGGGATTGTATTAGCTTTTATTGTTTTTAAATTGAAAGGAGAAAGTGATTTTGGAAGCACTGGACTCCTCTCACAATAGAACGTTATGGCCGTCCAGTATTTCCAAGTTTTTCATGGTGGTCTAGCTTCAATTGACTCATGATCTCAACTAATGAGATATTTATTTATCTAAACAGGAGGTAGTGTGTATGTTCATGCCTTGATGAATCGCGGTATTTTACAGAAAATCTTTCTTTTTGTAGTTGAAATATCTTTCTGTAATCTGTATTTGTGTATACACGTTTAGAATGTAATTTGTTCTATACTGCACTAAATATTAGCTCAACAGCTTAAATTACCTCAAATCATTTCGTAACATGTTTGATATAATGCATAATATATCCATAGACGTCACTTGTTGATATTCACGCTGAACATAATTCATGAGGTGTCCGAATGTAGATTATGATCAAAGGAGGTATGTTTTTTTATAGATAAGCGATTAAGAATGAAATTATATTATTTGCCGGTAATCGTAAAATAACACATGGTTTATCTACTCATACTGTTTCATATCTCTTCCTACACATTAATGATCGTACTTGTTCTTTTGAACTTGTACCTGGATGAATAGGAAGTATAAACTTACATCCACCATGATGTCCCATTCAAAGGTTAAAATATCAATGTTTGTTATATTATGCCACTTACAAACATGAAGTAATTTGTTGGAAGCATCAATCTCAAGATTTAACTTACGTAACAAATATGAAATCCCAGCGGAGTAAGTGGATAGGATACACGTTATGGAAAGCATCCAAATGTGTCACAAGGCAAGCCCTCACATGGGATCCTCAAGGCCAAAGGAAAAGAGGAAGACCACAGAACACATTTCGCCGAGAAATGGAGAAAGAAATGAAAAGAATGAACAAAAATTGGATATAACTAGAAAGGCTCAGGATAAAGTTGGTTGGAGAATACTGGTCGGCGGTCTATGCTCCTCTGGGTGTAAATGAGAAATATGAAACTAATCATAATAGAGAATATTGTAATTTTACTGGGACTTCTGGAGATTTTTCTGACATGTAGAATAGTTTATTGTTTCAGCATTCTTCCAAGGCGATTATCCATTGACAGTGTTGGACATGGACCTTCTAAGATTAAGTGAAACTATAATCATCATCAATTTTTTCGCCATCACCCGACTGTAATTTTTACCCAGATTTTATAGTTGAGCTCTCCTATTGTAATGATAAAAACGAGCTATACTGGCTACAACATTCGTCCCTTTATGTTCTATCATGAAAAGTAAACCGGTTGGACAACGGTAACATAAAAGCAAGAATTCATGGTTTGAAGGTAAAGTTGTACGATTGAATGAGCTGGAATGTAATGACAATAAGTTATTTCCGTCAAACAATAAATATTTGTAGCTAATACGGTTTTATACAATCACTAAAAACAGCATAGCAAACCTACCCCGCATGATCCTTCATCTCTAAACGTAAGTACGCAGCTAATATATAAAAAAACTATATTTCACAATGACCGTCTATCTGAACACTGCAATCAGTCAGTAACAACGTAGAACTTCGTACGTACGTACATCAGTTCGAGTTGTCACACCACATTAGCATAGAGATACAGTGGTCGATTCAAATCCCGTAGTGGTAGAGGTAATAAGAGTATAAGCATTAATCGGGAAGATTAGGGTTTGAAGATGTTATCCAAGGAGCATAATCCAGTGAAATAAATTTGGAAAGAGAAAAAAAGGACATGAAGAATTCAGAAGATTAGAATTTGGGAGAACACAAAGAGTGGATACACCTGCTCCATTGCAAACGATTTTGATCCATGTCATTCAGGGTCTCTAACCATCGGTTGCTATCATCTCGCGGTCCCCAACCAGGTAGTCTACACCTACCGACATGTGATTACACTGCAATCACATTCTCAGATCTCACATATAATGGGAAACAACAACTATTTAAAACACTCAAAAACGCATTCAATTGCCTTTATCATCAATTAAGCAAATATGATCATTTTCATTTTGAAATTTCAAGAATGTACACCTCTATAAGAAAATGATAACCCATAGAAGTAGTTTTAAGCAAGGACCAATACAGTATATAAATATATATTGGTAAGTATATCATTTAAAGTTAGTTACAAAATACATTGTACATGCAAATAAATATACAAATTTTGTTCAGAAAATAATTTGTTTGTTGTTAAATTGTCAATTGATGGGATGAAAACTCTTCATGCGTGCGTGTGTGCACGAGCATGCGCGCGCCCCTTCATTCTTTTTTTTCTTGATGATTACAGTATTGTTGTTTTTTCTAAGGAAAACTGAAAAATAAAGGTTTAATTGTATTGAACGTTCACGATAATCTTTTATTATTATTAAAGGTATTCTTTGTATTACAGATGATAGATACAGAATATATTGTTTATTATTGAATACAAAAGATTTTGTTGGCTAGTGACTACTACTGTAGAGGTATGTAATTTGTCTAGTAAATGCGTAAAAATGAGATCATATAAACTTGATTTATGATATGTCACTTGTACAAGGGGGCATTGAATACATATGCACTACATAAGTCACTTGATTTGTGTCTAGGCTATGATACTGCCCGGGTGGTCAAACAGGAGTAGGTGGTTTTCTTAGGGGATTACATCCGGAGCCTTCGACCTGAAATTCTAATCCACAAGGTAGAGGAACTACGTCATAATATGCACTTTCATGGTGACCAACAATAGGTTCATATGCCATTTATTCCTTCAGGATACTGGAGCCTATGTTCACCATTGGTTTGGAATGAGAGTTTTTCAACTCCCCTAGGTGGACTCTCCTTGTCCACATTCGCTTTCCGTCCTCTCAATTTCGTAAACAACACCTATGGTGCGAGAAGGAGTCCTGAATCTTCTTACACTTGGTCGTACCTCTGAAAATATTTGGAGGTTGTAATTTTCAAGTATCTTGTTTCAAGTTTGGTTGAAATCATGTACACAACTAGTTTCACCGAGTTTATTCTGTTAACAATCATTCAAATAATAAATATATAAAACGAAACCACAATATACTACACGTGTTTGCTGTCTTCTCTGATATGAGTGTAATAATCTTACGTTGCTATATGATCAATGGGTTTACTCATTAACTAGTATGTACACTGTCTGATCATTGATAAGTAGATGACATCACGTTTTTACGGTCGTTAGCGTTGATATAATTCCTCTGATCAATTTCCGCTGTGACTACTATTCGACGTAACCTCCTGTCGCATGCGTTATGTTTTGGATGGTACATGGTTGATGGTAGTTGGCAGTTGATCCTGAACCTCTACTTAACGCTGTTTGCCATTTGTTACCAAGGCCTAGCTGAAATCCTGAGGGAAGTGATACTTTTTGAATAATTCGAACCCGCATCACCTAGTTTGACAATCTGAAATGTTTCTACTGAGTTGGTCAGATGATAGCTATACAGGGAGTATTTGTTCTTTCAAGATTGAGGGTACGCCGCGATGACAAGTGCTGATTACCTTGAAACTTAGTGTTTCCTGCCGAATACTTTTCAACAAAGTAACACCTAATATGTGTTATTACAAAATGTGCCAACCTGAATTAATAAGATTATGTAATAGTTTTTACGTTGTTATGTCACAGTATAAAAACTTCCAATAAAATTTAGTGTCTCCTAGTGTTTACTGTATATAAAAATAAAGTGACTACTGAAGCTTAAATAAGTAGTTCAATCAAAATACAAAAAAGAATTTATATGAATAGAAATACAATAGGTGTGTCATAACATCGAGCAATTAAAAAAAAACTGTTAAAACACACATGTATCATTGTTTAACTTTAATTTGTTAATTCATCATAAGCACTTGATCAACTAGTCAATGTAACTGCTGAATGATAACTTGGACGACTTGGAATTCTATATGGAATTGGTGATAGAGAAGGTTTTGGAATATTTTCAAATCGTGGAATAGGTGCAGAAGGATATGGAGTAGGCAATGACGATGTTGTCGGTACTGGTTTAAATGGTTGACGTGGATATGGAATCTAAGAGGGAAAAAAAAGAAAAATATTTATGAAGACTATCAATCAACTTATTACTAATTACATATTCATGTACTCAGTTTCAAGCCATACTTCATGAATCAGGGTTTATGATAGTACCTAGTGGGAGGAGTAAGACTTGAATTTGAAACTGAATAGGTCTTTATCACCAAACCATGTCTGAAGTGAGGGTTCAAATTTGAAATGAAATGATCCCAAGTTTCAGAGTACCGATCTACTTATTTCGCGTTTAACAACTGGATAGTATCACTACTTACTTACGCCTGTTACTCCCAATGGAGCATAGGCCGCCGACCAGCATTCTTCAACCCACTCTGTCCTGGGCATTCTTTCCTAGTTCCAATCAATTCTTGTTCATTTTTCTCATGTCTATCTCCATTTCTCGGCGTAATGTGCTCTTTGGTCTTCCTCTTCCCCTTTGAACTTGAAGGCTCCAAGTGAGGGCTTATCTTGTGACGCAGTTGGATGCTTTCCTCAATGTGTGTCCTATCCACTTCCAGAGCTTCTTCCTGATTTCTTCCTCCACTGGGATCTGGTTGGTTCTCTCCCATAGTAGGTTGTTGCTAATAGTGTCTGGCCAACGGATCCGAAGTATTTTGCGTAGACAACTGTTAATAAACACCTGTATCTTCTGGATGATGGCTTTCGTAGTTCTCCAGGTTTCCACCCCACACAATAGAACTGTCCTGACATTTGTATTGAAAATCCTGACTTTGATGTTGGTTGACAGTTGTTTTGAGTTCCAGGTGTTCTTCAGTTGTAAATATGCTGCTCTTGCTTTGTCGATCCGCGCCTTCACATATGCATCAGATCCACCGTGTTTATCATTGATGCTGCACAAATATGTAAAGGTTTTTACATCTTCGAAATCTTCTCCGTCAATTTTGATTGGATTGTTGCATGCTGTGTTGTATCGGAGAATCTTGCATTTCCCGTTGTGTATATTGAAACCTACTGCTGCTACACTGGTCGTCTTCTGCATTTGTTGTTGCATGTGCCTTGAGGATAAAACTGAGACTTAAATCTAAGTAGATGAATCTATACTTCCTTTAAAGAAATTAACTATTCCTTCTATAAAATCTTCCAAATGATTGCATAAACTAAACACAATATTAGAAGTTTCAATAGATCTGTTGTATAATCAAAAAGTATTCAATATAATTATCAAAGTAAAAGATTAGTACAGCTTTCCTCTTTTTTACCTTCCTATGAAATCTTGGAAAAGAAATTCTGCGTAACTAATCAGTCGAGTCATAAGGATGGCTTCTCACGAGGACAAACAAATCGTGACCGAATTCACGTGTAGCATACAACTTAAAGTTATATCAAGTGGTATAACGCATCAAGGAAATTAAGGAGCTGCAGACTAAATCCCTAGAATATCTAAGAACAAAATTAGTAGGTATGAAACATCATTACAGTCATTGATGAAGTTCCAGCATTACTGGTCTAATTATACAGTGAAGAAAATGTCAATAAGAAGAAAGTAGTGATTGTTTGTACAACAGATAAAACATTGAAAGAGGAAAAAAAAATAGGCAAAATGTGAACTAACATCTTTATAAAATTCTGGATCACGACATCGATAATCCCGTTCATCTTGAATCGATTCTTGTATAATTAATAATGCACTAGTTAAAAAACCACTGCATATAATTAATGGTATACTAAAAACTAAGAAAAATGTTCCAGCGATAGTACCAGCGTATTGAGATGAACTAAATAAGAAATTTACAAAAATAAAATCAATCAATCTTCTATTTAATAAGTCACAATAACAGAAACATTGATCATCTAACGTTATGAATAAATTGGATAATACTGTAATGAACGAGAACAATAATGGGGACAATCAAAATGTATATGAACATAATATTGCAGAGTATCTTAGTAAAATCTGAGAACCATACAGGAAAATGTCAATCAATTGTCTTAGACTTGATGGTTCTTTAATTTACACACCATTTACTCTCGTTCGTTTCTCTTCGATCTTCTTAACCTTTTATCACCAGATATTTCACTTTTGATTAGTGATATATACTACTTATATCTGTCGATATCAGTAGCACACACCACAATAGTACCAATGTGCTCAAACCAAAGTAGGTGAATGGAGATTCAGACACAGAACCTTGTGGTTGGAAGTCGAATGTCTTAACCACTGACAATTGACCTAAATAACCTTGACTGGTTTAACATTTTTATACAAATATTCATGTATATTAGAGTAAAGCCTGATTATTATTATTATTATTATTATTAGCTTTATTCAATATTATATTATTGGTACAATATAGAATTCTCAGCACAAAGTATTTCAACAAGTTTCCGTTTCTTTCTTCTTGGTCGGTCCTCGCGATAAATACTGAGTGATCGCCAGCTAGATGTTAACAGTCCAGTAAATGAACATCTGAATAATGTACATTCTTTTCGTTGTATATTGCCAGCAACAATATTCTCTCTTTTTGAGCTTTTTGTAACTTTGACAACGAAAGGTTGTACAATTTTCAGAAACACAGCAAAATAGGTTGTGCGATTAATAGACATAATGATATATTAAAACAAACAAAGATAGATAACTTGTCGAAATATCTAGATGGCAGGAACAGGTAGCCCAGATGCTCAAGCAGGCCGCCTCGATGACGCTTACATGTGTTGTTTTAAATATGTAATTACAGAATCTCTTGGGAAAATATGAGAACCATATACTGAATACTTCATTTGAGTGTTCTCATCATTTGTTCTTCATATTCCGTATGATTCTTCCAAATGATGATTCCTTTCTATTTCCGTTTATTTTCTTTAAGCCGACCTTCATAGCCTTTCGCTGCCATGCATTTTTCTTCTGATTGTTGTTACATACTACGTATGTCTGTCAACATATGTAGCATGCACCACAGTAGTATGTTGAAAATTAACAAAGAATTCAATATTTCTGGTTGTTTAATTATTTGTTCATTGAATCAGTACAAGTTCAGGCAATCAAAGAAAGTTATTGTGCTATTGAGGTAAACTGTTTTAAATTTTTTTTCTTTTTCTAAAAGTTTAAACATAACTTCTATATACAATTGATTGATCATTGAATAGTGACCAATGTCATGAATTTCAAATCTTTCTTAATGTCAATAAAGTTCTATCGATCAATTTCCAGTAACCTGACATCGCATGCACAATAAGGAAGTGTGAGGTAGTAGTTGGAGGTAGTCAACAGGAAACATTAGACCGAGGTTTCGTGTCATTCTGGTACCCATCAGTAAAGTTTGCCAGTAACTCTGAGGGAACTGATGTTTCCTGGAGAATTAAATCCCATATCATCACTCAATTGTAAATAAATCTTAATCCTATATCAGTTCAGTCGCAGTCCAAATTTTTTTACATTGAAATAGTCGTAGGTTTGCTTAGAATTTGTTGACTGATTACAACTCTCTGAATGAGCTATTACATATAAAGCAACTCAGCAGTCTTTCTATCGTTGTAGAATAGATGGAATATGGCCAGCAATGGGATCCAGAAAGTACGTTCCACCTTATATGGGACTTGTCAGTTGGATGTGTGGTGTGTGCTACTGATGTCGATATATATATAAGTAGTATATGTTATTAATCGAAAGTGAAATTCTTAGCGTCATAATGTTAGGAAGATCAAAGAAAAGAGAACGAGAACGGAGTGATTAGTGTGAAAATGAAGAAACAGTCAAGTCTGATACAACTGATTGACATTTTGCAAATGAGGTATCTACTATATGGTTCTAAGATTTTACTAAAAAATTATGTAATTGTGTGTTCAAATACATTCGATTTTCCCCACTTGTGGATAAAAAGATGGCGTTTGAAGTGAACGGTGTCAGATTAGAGTCCTAAAGTGAACATTAACTCTAGGATGCAGGTACATCTAGATGACAAGTCCAAAACAGGATAAAATACGCGTCCCGTATTCCACCTTTTATCTACATTATAAATAGTCAACGACTTATTCTCTGTTCAATTGATAGAGACAAATACAATTGGATAAAATAGATTAACATGGATCAACTTATTCATTCTTAAAATCAATACTAATTTTGCACAAATACACACACGTATAGAAAACAAAATCCTATAAACAATTATATCATCATGCATAATATAATCATCATCATGGATGCATACTGTTGAGGAGTCTCTCACAATAGAATCAAACAACCGTCCAATGTTTTCAGGTTTTTCAATAATGGTCTAACTTTAATTGACTCATCATCTCAACTATTAAAATAATTTTCACCGATTGAAATCATGAGTCAGTTGAAGCTAGACCACCATTGAAACCTGGAAGCACTGGACGGCCGTTTCGTTCTAGTATGGAACTCCTCAGCAGTGCGCATCCACGATCCCGCACCCCGCAGGATTCGAACCCAGGACCTACCGGCTTCGCGCGTGAGCATTTAACCATTAATTAATTAGCTTAAAATAAGATGAGTGGAATTTCAAATGTCTCTTCTGTTTGTTTTATTTTGCAGACTGATTAGTTAAAAACAAACAAACAAACAAACACAATGGTGTATTACAAAGTTAATGTAGATCAGTTAGAGATTGTAATTAGATTTTACTCATTTCTAATACTGACATCAATAAAAACAAAAACATCCCTTGAACCCACCCATAAAAACATTATGAGATTCTAAACAAAGAAAGTTTTAGAAAAAAACTACAATATTTAAACAAACCAAATACATTAATTAAAAGTATAATGTTAAAGTATTAAAGGTTTGAGTTCAATTCTGTGTTAGAATTAACAATATTAGTTTTACTATAAACAATTAAATAGAGTAGAGTATAATTTGAAGATAGAATGATATGATTATCAAATGAATATGTGATTTATGCCTGATGGAACGGAAAGTTTGCTCTTCCACCTAAAGTGTTCTTACATAGGCCACATGTATACAGCCACTATCAGAGAAGTACTACTTATTGTTATCTCGTGAAGAGGAGGTTATTTTAGAGAAATGAAGATGAAAAGAGAATGTTTAGATAGAGCTTAAGCCGGGGTCGGTGGATACAGAGGATCCAATTAGAGCGGAGTTGGAAAACCCTGATTCCAAACAAACAGTGTACATGGGCTCTAGTATCCTAAAGGGGAAAATGGTGTATGAACTCATCCCTGATTACCAGCTACCACTAGACCGCATTTCCTAATGTTGATCCATTGTTTAGTGGACTATACCTCTGGGTCAAAGAATTAGATTGTTTTATTTATCTATTTTTAAAAACACATAAACATTGGTACAAGGAGACATCAAATAGATATGCACCACATAAATCATTCGATTTGTGTGAGGGCTTGGATACTGCCCGTCTGACCAAACCGAAGCAGGTGATTTTCTTAGGGGACCATAACCGGAGTCTTCAACTTAAAGGCCTGACCCATAAGACAGTGAAGCAACCTAAGGAGATGTAGTCCCATGGTAACCGGTGACCAATAATTGGTTTATATGCCATTTGTTCCTCCAGGATCCTGGAACCTATGTACACCATTGGTTTGGGAATCAGGATTTTCCAACTCCTCTAGGTGGACTCTCCGTGTCCAACAACTTGGTTAAAGCCTCTGCCGGACATTCGTTTTTCGTCTTCTCAATTTCGTAAATAACACTCGTAGTGTGAGAAGGCAGTGATTAGGACTTCCCTGACAGTGGTTGTATACGCTCTCATTAGTGGTATATGTCCATTTTACGGGGATAGCTTCAATATAACCATCTTATTACAAGTGAACATTAACATTTCAATTCAGATCTATAGCTAGCTGAAGAGTCCCAAATATAAAAAGAAACGAGAATCCTGGATTCCAATATTATTCATAATCCATATATTCTATTAGATATACTCATGTTCAAACATCTAAATGATCTATATACTAAAGGAATAGACATTGTATAGTATGATAATGATAATAATCATAATCATCATAATAATAAAAGTATAGAAAATATAAACTTACTCATTTAAATTATGATACATAGACAGTACTGTTATACCTATTATTAAAAATATAATAGATAAAATCCAAAATACTATAACTGATGTACGAACTCGTTCAACTAATTTCTCTCGTTTAGTATCATCTTCATTAGAGGTGACCATCATACTAAAATATAAGTTAAAATACAATTTGTATTAGGCATATTAAAATAAAACTGTTAGATGAATAGTTAAATTGAATGAATGAATTGAAATCGTGAGTCAATTGAAGCTAGACCATCATGGAAAATCTATAAGCATTGGACGGCTGTTTCGTCCTAGTGTGGGACTCCTCAGCAGTGCGCATCCACGATCCAGGTTTTTCATGGTGGTCTAGCTTCAATTGACCCATGATTTCAATCTGTGAAATTTCTAAAATCTCCACAAACTCCTTCCGATAATGAATGAATTACATAATCACATCTATTAAAGTAAGAAAAATAAGTAACATTTATACAAATTTGTAATAGTATAAATGTAAATCCAAGGTAACTAACTTATTTTATTTAAGTGTGTGACATATATCATATCTGGTCTTCTATAATCAATAAAAGCAACATAGAAAACACATTAAAGATGACCAATTTGAGAGATGAAGAAAAACACCACTAACACGTGCTGTTTCATTCAATAATAATAATAATAATAATAATAATAATAATAATAATAATAATAATGGGAAAATCAATAGTATCAATAATGATAGTAATAATAATAATAATAATAATAATAATAATAATAATAATAATAATAATAATAGTGATAGTAATAATAATCACGGCAATGAAAATCATAGTAACAGTAGTGATAGGGATAGTTATAATAGTAATAATAGTAATCGTAATGATAACAATAAAGGTAACAAGTATGATAATAATAATAATAGTGATAATGATAGTAAGGGTAATAGTAATGGTACTAATAACAATAGTGATAATGATACTAATAGTAATAATCATTTATTGTTTTATTTAAACACATAAACATTGGTACAAGGAGGTACCAAATAGATATGCGCCACATAAATCATTCGATTTGTGTGAGGGTTGTGATACTGCCCGGGTGCCCAAACCGAAGCAGGTGGTTTTCTTAGGGGGCCACACCCCAAGCCTTTGACCTAAAGGTCTGATCCACAAGGCAATGGAGCATCGTAAGGAGATGCAGTCCCATGGTAGCCAGTGATCAACAATTGGTTTATACGCCATTTGTCCCTTCAAGATACTGGATCCCATATGCACCAGTGGTTTGGAATTTGGTTAAAGCGCCGGACATTCGCTTTTCGTCCTCTCAATTTCGTAAACAACACCCCCCGTGGTGTGAGAAGGCAGTGAGTAGGACTTCTCTGGTGGAGCCTGTATACGCGTGGCCGTGTGAGAGCATTTCGAGAGGGGAGGCGTGCCCACCCCACTCTCGGCCATGCCAGGGCATTTGGGGGCAATAGTAATAGCAATAATGATAGTAATAATAATGATGACAATAATAACAATGGTAATAATAATAGTAGTAATAATGATGATAGTGGTAGTATTAATAATAATAATAAAAATAATGGTTATAATAACAGTAATGATAATGATATTAATAAAGTAATAACATTCCACTGATGACAATGAGTACGTGATTTCCTATCAAACTATTCAATGGCCTTTTTGCTTCATTTTAATTCTGGAATTAATTTATTTTCGGGGGAAAATTACCTATTATTATTGTTAACACTCTTTAATCGATAATCAATCAGATTAACCGTTTCATTTCTTCATTAATAAGTATAATTATATAATAGAAATACACTAATTAATAAGTTTAGTCTTATGATAAGTTATCATTAGATCACGTTATATTAGTTATGTTATTCATTGATTGATAATTACTAAGCTTTTATTGAAGTCATAGAGATTACTTTAGTTGTTGATTAAAGAAAATTATGTTTCGTTAAATGATTTGGAAAACATTAAAATTATTGAAATTTCCCATTTGTATGCATTGTAGATTATGTTTTCTTTTAGTAACCTAAAACGTTTATGAATGAAGATGATTTCAATGAGACTATCATTTATGGACAAATCAATCAGGTATTATAAGATAACAAGTTTCAAATTTTGGTGTGAAATTCACCCATCTATTTGGTTAAATAGAGTTTCGGCATCATCATTGATGTCAGTTCGTGATGAGAAAACCTTAAATCTAATTCCTAACTCCTAACCATCAATTGTTAATCGTAATTCGAATTCCTTACACTGATTTATAACCCTCAGTTGGTCCTAGTTATCATGTGGGCACTCTCAAGGTCACATTAGTGTCGTTCAAAGATTGTCCATAAATTAGTCTCACCAGCGAATACAGTGGTCTCGAGTGCTGTTAGAGGTATGAGGGCGGTTATCGCTTCCCGGTTGCCCACACCGAGGAAGAATTAGTCTCACCAGATGATTCAAATAATTTAAAGATTTTAGTGAAGAGCAAAAAATTTATATCTATTTAAAACTAGTGTTTTGAAACCAAATATAGAGAACCAAGTTCATAGTATTAAGAGATCTCATTACAAATGATGGGATTGTATACAGCAATAGGATATACTAATTAAATCTATTATTGTGATACTATACCAGTATAATCGTTGAAGATGGTAACTATGATTGGGAAGCAATTTATTGATATTACAATGAAGTAGTCATCAGGATGAAAGAGAGTGAGATAGATAATATAAATATTACAGCCACAATATGAACAAATGCAAGGCATTTTTAGACTGGCTGAAACCAGATCTATGGAAACATTTCTTAATGGTTCAGACTATCCACAAGTACATATATTTTCCTTTATTTTGGAAAAACTAAAAAAGTATTCATAGGCAAGAAAAAAATACAAATACATATACGGATACTTGAATCAGAATTCGAGAGTAGCTCATAATGAGAAAAATGCTGATGTCACTTAAAAAGTCTAAAACTCAATGGTATAACTGATAAGTTGGCTGTGATTTAGTGTTGAAAAATACATAATTCCCAACCATACAGTCATCACTGATTCAAAACCTTACTTCATCTGCCCCTGATTGAGCAGTTGAGCAGTATCACTAGCTATCAAACTAAGAAGTTTGACCTAAAAACTAGTGCATACATTTGTAATTAGTCATTGAGCTGAGTTGTATGACAGTTAATTTATAACAAGTCTATCGACAGACCAAAAACAGGATCGATCAGCTGGCAATATATATGGTTCTTTAATACTATTATTAAGTGAAGCGTCTATTTTTGTGTCTATCAATAGTTTAAAACAGGAGCTTGGCATGAAGTTTATATGATGAACAATACCGAACAAAACAATACTGTCTGTCGAAAATGAATGATAAAAAAAAACAGAACAGAAATTAAACTACATATCAAAAGTTTTAAAAACAGGAATAATACTTATATATTTTAAAATGAGTGATACACATTAAATGCACTCTGATGATGTATGTATAGAATATTTGTGGAAGATAGTGGACTTTTCTCTTTAAAATCAAGAAGATAACTGAAAGAAAATCCTACAATGATTCATTACTGTGCTGGCAGATGCGACGGCACTGCATGTAATCTAGACTGTTTGAATTAAAAACAGATAGGAAGGTAATCATCAACTTTACATTAGACTTGTTAAGAAAATATGATTGTTAGTAAATACATTAGGATGATGGTCATTATAACAAGTTCATCATGAATTTTTTATAATCCATCTTATGATGCGGTATAATATATACACTGTTAATCCCCCTTTCATGAGAGCTTGTTGAAATTCCAAATGGGATATCCGTTTTTCAAGTCTTATAAGACGATGATCAACAGATACGTGTTCGTTATTACCAGTGGAGGAAGATCTTGATACACGAAGGCGTTCTTGTGCTCGATGACTAGAAGTTTCACAGAATACTCCAGCGGAAGCATTAGCCTTAGCTGAACCATCTGACGACTGAGAAGAAGCTTGAGCTTGGGCACTAGAACAGGATTAAACAAAATATGATATATTTAAGGATTGTTCCATAGGATCAGTACATGAAATATTTATATTCATCTAAAAATAACGTAACTACGATAACGCAACTATGAGCTATAATTATGTGAGTATGTAACTAAGATAAACACTTGATGCTATTCTAACATTTATGTACTTGTTCTACATCAAAGTTCAGTTCGAAAATGCGAAAAGGTTGAGAGCATGCGCAGCAAATATAATCGATAAAACATTGCTGTAAAGTTATACACACACTGGCCAGTTAATCATATGCAATGTAGGATCTGGCACATGTGCACATCAGTTTAAGTTGCCACATTCCAATAACACAACAATATGAAATTCTCGAAACAAATCCCAGAGTGATAGAGGTAATAAAAATATTGATGGTAATAAAGATTAGGCATCGAAGATACGATTCAAGCAAGTATAAAGCAAATAAAAAAATCATAAGGAATTCAGAAACCTGGGATCTAATGGAAGTCAAAGAATACGCGCACCCATGTTATTATTAAAAATGTTGAGTCATGTAAAACAAAGTCTCCAACCACTGTTTACGATATTTATGTGGACCTAAACTAGACAGTCTACATTTATTTATGATCGCAGGTGTCATCGAGCATTGCTCGTATATTTTGGGACCGCCGAGTAAGCAATGTCTGGATTAGGAATACAGTGCTAGCTTAGGATGGGAAATTGACTGATGAGGTAGTAAATCCTCATCAACTGAGGTGGTTAGGAGATGTGTTACATGTGCTCAACCACCGTCTACCTCGAAGGGCATGTTTTTCGATGTACGAGTAGGCTGAAAGAAAGCTAGGGGCAGCCAAACCAAGACATGGGAACACTTCGTGAAGTTATCAACAAGTGGACTGAGCCATGTAAATAGGTGAATCAAGATTGTTTGCAATGCCTCAAGTGCATTAATTTTTTTGCCTTCCCTCGAATTCTAGACTTCTAAATTTCTTGTATTTTCCTGAATCGTATTTTCGATGTCTATTCTTTTCTATTACTACTGATATTGGTACTTCTAATATTCTGAGGATTAGAGCAACAGTTTTATGTCTCTGTGCTATATATATAGTACAGCAACTTGAACCGATTTATATACATACGTACTAGGTTCTACGTTGCGACTGACACTTAACTATATGGTTCAGTTCAACAACCGGTGTCGCAATGAACTGATGCTGTCTTAGTTCGGCTACCTCAAGTTTTCTTCCAGAATACCTCTACACTAGTCATCATCGCCTATCAAAATATTCGGTGGATGGGGTTAAGTAACACATTTTGCAAACATCCAAATCGATAAAGATTGACCTCGTTTATCGATTTACAATACCTACTTAATACTCTGGGTTCAACAATGGAACTACTGACTCGATAGCCCGAAAATAAACGAGCATTGGTACTAAGACATAATGGACGAAAAAAATCTTGAAAGGCCAATTATTTTACGGGGTTTACGTGGACATTAGAGATGGATACTACCTTACATTCTTGAGAAATTCAAAAATTCATAAGTTAATTGTAGAACACCGTTAGAGATGAAGGCTACCGATAAATTGCACAAGTTCTTGTAGCTTTTTGACGCTTGAATACCACCGTACACCTGAAAAACGGTATACGGGGCAAGCTTCAATTAAATGTTGAATTTAACTAAGCAGTGGAAGATAAGTGCATACTTGAAAACACAAAGTGACCGGTTTTGTTGTTTACACAATCTCAGCAATGACTTGAACGTTCATGTGCTAGGTTAACAGAATACCTACTACGCTCAATAGTCGTTGTGTTTGAACGATAAACAATAAAATTTGTATCCAGTTCACTTGACTTCAGACGTCTATTTTAACAAAGTGACCACGTGGGACAGAATTGCATTGGTCAAACGAAAGATCAGACTTTTTGTGGATAACTAATTTATTTAGACTATGTCATCTTACTAGGATTTTCACGGGTAACACAGTACTCTGAAAAATAAGCAGTGTTAACCAGAGCTACGATGAGTGAAGAACAAACATTTCAGAGGTGAAGCCTCAGAAAGACAGTCTAAGTGGAATTATTTTGTATTGGCTTAGTGAATACACTAGATTTTGCATTACGAATGAACCTGATTGGTAATAAGTAGAATCACGATGCAGATGTATAGCTTTATGAAACTTACTTGCAAACTAATTTCGAGCGAATGTCACTGTTCTTCAGTAAATCAGGACTATATCCTAGGGCGTACTCTGTTGAGCGTTTGGCATCTAAAACTGTAAAGTAAGTATAATTATGTTTCGCACTTAAATCTGCAACTGGATAGTTGCGAAAAGAAACATCATGACCTTCACTGAGTGTTGCTGAATTATCGGAATCGTATGAAAGTTTTACTGGGACACGCATCTTCTTGTTGATATCAGTTGTATAGTCAAACTCATAAGTAGAGAGCTTTGGATACAAATCATCCATCACATACGAAATAAACGCTTATTTGGAAGTGAACAAGGTCACAAAACTAGTTTGTTTAAAAAACTGCAACAAGGAAACTACAGTACTTCGTGTTTCAAGGATTATGAATCTATTCAATCAACTTATATGGAAAGCCATATTAAAAAGATATATATACTCCAATAATAAGGTTAGGACGTCAAGTGGTCATCACAAATTGTAGTACTATGAAGATCGAATCTCGCTGTAAATGCATCGTCATGTGCTGATATTGAGCGTTCTGATATACGAAGAATGAATCTCCTGACGTAAACTATATAATCTCGGTTTTTGAACTGACGCTTAATCTTAAATAGAAGGAAAAAACGGAATATATGAATACCAAAATCATCGTACAGTACGCAGCAAGCCAGTATTAAGTCACCAGGCAACCTGATGCAAGTTAATTTAAATATGTTAAGGTACTTTAACCTATCGCCATAAAGTGGTGCACTGAGAACTTTTACCATTTCGATCCCCGGCTATTAAAGTCGTTCTAGTATATCAGCTTCACATCTGAAACAAGGATTCACTACCTGAATCGTTTTGTCTCGTAAATATAGTATGGTTAAAAGAATTTTTATAACAATGTTTATCGTCATTTATGCGTCTCATAACTTCACTTAAGTTGTACAGTTGTGAATGCCTAATATAGAACGTTTATGTCTTCATGCGACACTTCGATTAATGATTTGTTGAACGCAGTTGAATTTTTACACTTCCTTCCTCCACATGATTTTGCTCTCTTTCACCAGTCCTTGTGATATAACTAGGTTTATAATGTGCTTATGCTTAAATTTTAGATGCTGATTCAATTGTAACTAAGCACTTCACAATTGCAGCAACCTCATATCTATCGATTTCATTTTGTAACTGTGGGATAAATTTTTGGAACCTACTGAACACGCAAACAAGCACATATTATTAGTGCTTTATGTGGCAGTCCTATTATTCAATTTTCTAACAAATTCATCTCACGCGCTTACATTGAAACCACACTACTATCATTTATTTCACCATACTATTTGTTATACCTAAACCTTATCAGTTAACGTGTATGCGCAAAAATACGTTCACATGAAGAATATGGTAGGGGTTAGTTCCCATATCTCAGAGTTCATGTCACATGTACGAAAACTCAAAGGTCGGTAATTTTCTTGTAGCGTGCCTGATTGTCATTTGTGCGATATCGGTAATAATAATAATAACTTCGAGCGTGTTGTATTTCGCTGAAGCGTTTGCCAAAAGATGAATAAAACCATATTTGTGCATTCGAAAAGATGATTATCAGTCTTACTTTGTTATAGCGGTATTGACTTCATGAGTTTTCTAGATAACATCTTTTCCCCTGACATTATTTCTGATATTTTATCCCTTACTTGTTATTTAAGCTTCACAGAACTATTTAATTTTTCAAGTGCTACATGGATTGTGATATTGCTGAATTCCGAAAATCGTGTTTCAATGCTATTCCCACTATTTTTGACTTTCTGTAAGAGAAACCGAAACCCGGACTAAATGATCTACCAGCCTGAGTGCACGATTTTACTATTGACTGGTCAAGATGTTTGATAATCGGTGGAAATGCTGAAGGTTAGTGAACTCCATGCAGATTGATGAACAGACAGCTCGTCTTAGCTCATAATGCAGTAGCTATATGTATTTCATCACTATCGTAAATTTATTATCTCTATAGGGAAATTCTGCACGCTTTTAAGGGATCCTTACATATATGAATGATCCGCCTACTGAGTTAGAGTAGCCCAGTCTAGAAGATCATCAGTTGGCGGTGCTAGGTCTGTGTTTACAGCATAGGAATTCAAACGATCCCAAAGTAATTTTTGTAGACTTTACCTGATGTGCGTAACCAGTGAAGCGCGTGGTTTTAATATAAACACAAACCTCTCTTAACTTGACATACATGATGGGAATCATAACGATTAAAAAAGTAGGGGGGTATATAAGTATTCGAGCTTTAACGTTAGTCCTAATAGGATTTGGGCCAGTTCTTAACCACATAACTTAGACTGCTACAGTAGAACTTTGAGGTAAGGTTACGCAAAATTAGCGATCACACCATACCTGCCCAAATATAGTAGTGTAAGACTACTGACTAAAGCTTATTGATACCACTTACCCCTATTAAACTACCTGGAGTATGAGGCACAGAATGGTAAACTTCAACCAACTCTCTTTTGGGCTCTCCTTTCCGGTCATAACCGAGAACTATAAACTCTTTTTATTTCCGTCCACAATTCTCAGAGCTCTGAGTCCTTCGGTATGCCTATTTCCCTTTTGTTTAAAGGGTTCCAGTCTAGGTCTTACTTCGTAATGCAGTTTGTTGATTTCAGCAACGCATGTCCTACCCACCACCAGCGTTTTCTAATTTTCTCCTGAGCTGGAAGCTGGTTTGTTATCTGTGATAGTAGGCTGTTGTTGATGGTGTTTTGTTGATGAAAATGGAGTATGTCGAGTAGAAAACTGGTTATAGGTATGTCAAATTATGGTCTACTTAAATATTAGCACTGCTCTTATAATAGACCTAATCCTAAAATTGTACATTTGTTATGATGTAACTGCGTAATCTGTAAGATCTTTCGTGGAAGTCACATCATTTTCTACCTTGACTCATTGTATAGTAACAATCATCAAAGTATGGTGAAGAACACACTCAGAGATAGAACAGTACATTCGATGTGGATAAAAAAAATGGTACATAAGACCACGCCTGCAAGGCCGAGCTATGCCATACAATCAATTCGAATTCGTCCAATCCATTGTTCCCGCCTTCTACATCGTTGATCTTTTCTAGGCGTTAAAAGTTGGATATCCGTTTTTCCAGTTGTCTCCTGCTCAGCTTTGAGGATTGTGCGGTTACGGTCCAATGCCACTACAGGTAAATGTACTTTTCCTGATATTGACATTGTCTCAACTCTAACCTTCTTTAGAATACTTTTTTACTTGGCTCATGGACATAAGCCTGTTTAAATAATTTTTAGTTCCCACACAGTTATCTTTTCATCGTCCTCATCCAATTCAACTTTAGTAAACTAGCAGTGTTATCGGAATTTTGAATACCTTATCTCATTTATATCATGGCAGCCAGTTGAAACCCTCTAATTACTGATGATTTAATGAATCCAGCAGATTTAAACGACATCCAAATACAAAAACAGACGTTAACAGACTTGGACGATGTGAAGAGTGTTGTGTTATGTTACTGTGACGCTCATAGTCCAACAGAAACCAATAATTGTCTTGGAATCTGGGATCTCGGCCGAAAACCATCAGTCTATTTATCCGTTTTTTTAATGTCGAGACATGGTTTTAGAAAAATAGTTTATCTACTAGGCTGCACTGCTCATAGCAAATTTGACGCCTATCTGGAGGTCGCTATTATAGAAAGGTTAGGATAGACCCTATCTGGTCACAAGCTTTGTCGTTATGATGGTTGTTGTGATTTCGCCCTACAACTACGATTACTTTAAGTGAAAACAAATTGTTTTTTATGTTGATTTTGATTTCCTTTGTACATTGTTTAAATGTTTCGTCGATGAGATGTATCGTTCTCACTCACCTTAAAACTGTTTGAATTGGGAGCTGGGTCATTTTTGCTGGAAGAGTGGGCTGGACAAACTCTGGGTTGTAAAATATGCCCAGCCTATGTGTTCGCTCTCTAAGTACTTACTCATCATGCACCATTTTTGAATTCCAAAGTGAGCTACTCAGTGCTTTGTATACGTAGCCAAGTTACATCTGTCCATATGATCCCAAATCGACCTTGGGTGATCCAGCTTATGATTGGGTAGCCTCTCCGACTCTGAATGATGGCAGTGACGTAATATGGAACCTCATTAACATCGCACAGATTCTCTCTACTAACCTTCTCAACAACAATGAGAAATAAAACATCGAGGACGAGTAGTGCTGAGGATGAGTGTGGTTCATAGATACGATTTAGTGAAAAGTGATAAGCATCGATGAACGGAGCAAAGTAGGTTTTTTATATTTTATGGTCAGAAGAATGGATAAAACATATACAATGTGAAATACATACGGAATAACACGTGGGAGAATACGTTTACTGTGGTCCAGGCGACTGACAATATTTAAATATCCAGTACCTTTTGCACTTAATCAGAATGGGGAATTATAAGATGGCCTTTGGTCATATCCTCAATTTATTTTTCCCCACCATGTTTTCTGTAACTAATGAGCCTAGGTGTTTTCAGTAATGTGATCATAAAAAAGTAGAATACTTCTTGTATTCGCCAAATTCGACGTTCATTACACTTAAATTCCATTGGTCAACTTAAAAACTAACGTCTTAAGCTCATTACTTAATCAATATGAGGTCTATTTAAGAGTTAATTTCAGTCCTGTCATCTTAATGGCTTTCTAAAAGTCTGGGTTTTCAGCCGGTTGTTTGATTAACGAGAAATTAAATAAGTTCCATTCAGGTGCTCATCAAAATTCATGATATTCATACCCCAGTTCTCATGAGTTTTATTTGCCATGATTTGGCACGTTCAGTCCTTTGAGTCGTGCGGATCCAGAAAGTGATAGGTAGATGAAACATTCTCAGGCCCTCGATCTGAAGTCTCCCTAGGCCTCAACGACCTCCAGTCCTGATGTATCTCTCATGAAGTAGTTGAATTTGTTAAACCCTTTGGTTGGTTGAGAACTTCGCACTGTGACGATAGTTCTATTCATGATTCAAATCCTGTGGTGAGAGAAGTTCAGCCACAGACTGATTAATTTTCCCATCACACCTAACTTTGCCACGTGAATGGGATCCGAATGGAACGATTAATTCATATTAAATGGAAGTGTTGCAAAAATAGAAAGTCCTTATCTTGAACCGTTTGAATCTATCAAATTAAATTGTTATCAGCTTACAGTCTGTGTTCACCACTAGGAAATGCCACCCTTTCGTTTAGGTGACTACCCAATACAATACACCTATTTCACCGAGCGTCTCCATTGTGATTAGCTGTGTATTTGATATCTGAACGAGCG